GCAAACATGGTAAGTTCAGGGGGCAGCATTCATCTCCGCACTGCCAGACGCTCTGCAGAGCGCATCACCACAGGCAGAGACCTTTGTCAAAGTAAGGAGCATTTAAAAATAAAACCAAACCCAAACGAGAAGACAAAAAAGATGTCTGTTTTTAACATTTTCCACAGATACCATCACCTGAAAGTTTAGATGGGACAAGGAGAGTCCTGCACGGAGCACAGAGATGAAGTAGGGTACAGGAAATGGCTCTGAAGAGACTCGGGGTGCGGAGGGCGTGATGGGACACCCAGCAGTGCTCAAAGCCAGCCCCGTGCTCAGCGCTCGCTCGAATCACTCTTTCAAACGCCGACAGAATTTCATAATCAATAACAAAACCTCGCACCACGTCTCAGAGCCCAGGTGTCTGCCTCACGTTGGAACCGTTAAAGCTGAAACGTAGTACCTCACAGTGCCATAGTTACCCGGCATCGCAATTTCTGCCCGCGCTGCTGCTGACTGGAGCCCAGCCGGCGTCCTGCGGGCCGCGCTGAGGCGGGGGCAGGGAGGGCAGGCGGCCTCGGCACGGCCTCGCCTTATCCCCAAACCCTTCCCTTGGCGAAGAAGTCGGAGCCCCGGGCCGCCCGGCCTCAGAGCAGCAGAGGGATAGGGAAGAGGTACGCGGAACCAGGAACGAGCGACGAGAGCCTCGCAAAGGCGAGGAGCTGCCGGGAGAGGTTCCGGGTCGCGGCGGCGAGGCGCGAAGCCTGAGGAGAACCGCGACGCGCGACGCCGAGCGGCGGGAAACGCCTTGAGGGCACGAGCCGCGAGCTCCAGACCAGCGCGGCGCGTGCCCGCGGGCGCCCCCTGGCGGCGGGGCGACGAGCCCTCGGCCGGGCCCCGGGGACCGCTCAGCGCGGTGCGGCGCTGCCCGCCGTGCTCCGGCGCCGCGGCAGCTGTGGGCAGGGCGGGGCGGCGGCTCCGGCGGTGTGACCGGCGGCGCGTCGCGGAGCGGTGGAGGAGCCCTCGGCGCGAGGCAGGACGGAGCGCGCGGCCCGCCGGAACTCCTCGCTGCGCCAAGTGTAGAGCAGCGGGTTGAGGGCCGAGAGCGAGCAGAGCAGCAGCCAGCTGGCGGCCTGCAGCGCGGGCGGAGCGGGCCGCAGGAAGAAGCCGAGGAGGCTGACCCAGACGAGGGGCTGCGTGCCCAGCAGGAAGACGCAGCAGAGCAGCAGGACGGAAACGCTGCTGAGGCGACGCTGGGCGCGGCGCGGCGGCGGCGGCGCGGCGGGGAAGGGCAGCTGGTGCAGCAGGTGGAAGTTGAGCACGCTGACCCGCTTGGCGCTGCCCCGCACCCGGCGCACGATGCCCAGATAGCAGTGCAGCAGCAGCGCCGTCTGGGCCAGCACGGCCAGCGCGAGGAGCAGCGCGGGGTAGCGGGAGCTGCCGTCCGTCTGCCGCGGGGGCGGTGTTGGGGCGGGGCCCGGCGTCCAGAGCCCGGGCAGCAGCGGGAGCAGGAGCAGCGCCAGCGCCCATGAGAGCCCGATCATGCAGCCCGTGCGCCTCCGCTGGTACAAGGCCTGGTAGACGCTGGGCAGCTTGGTGATGAGCACGTACCTGTTGAAGGCCACCAGCAGGTGCGAGGCCAGGGACACGGTGAGGCCGAGGCCCAGCAGCCCCTCGCGCAGCAGGCGGTACTCGGCCGAGCGGAGCGAGGAGGAGTTCGGGGGCAGCAGCCCCAGCACGGCCTCCTGGGGCATCCACAGGGCGCACACGCTCAGGTCGGCTGCGCAGCCGTTCACGATGAAGGCGTTGCTGGTGGTCTGCAGCTTCTTGAAGGAGAAAACCAAGTAGATGACCATCACGTTGGACAGAGTCCCTGAGATAGCCAGGACCGCATAGAGCAGCGAGAGGAAGATGCGGGTCCCTGAGGAGTCCTCCCAGAGCAGCAGCAGGGGCGAGCTCGCGCTCCAGGAAGAGGCGTTGGGCATCGCGCTGAGTGCAGCTCAGTTCTGACTTCTCGTAAATCCCATCCTCATCCAGGTCAGATCCTGCTGCGGCAGCCCCCCGCTGAACACGAGAGATGATGTGCGGGCGGGGAGCTCAAGGCAGATTTCAGTCATATGAGCTGCGAGTCCAGAAAATGCAGTTAGCAGTAACGACCCGGAGAAGAACGGTGTCCAAGGCAGATAGGTGGCAGGAAATCCCAGAGGCTGGAGCTAGTGAAGGTGGGTCCATAGGGTGCAGATGGCTGTAAGCAGACCAGAGCGTGCCTGAGGATTCTGTAGCTGTGAAAATGCCAAAAGCGGCAGCACCTTGCAATCAGTAGCAGAAACGGTAGCAACTGATACAAAGCTTTGCAGTTCCTCCTGTGACACAGTACGTACTCTGTATATCATTCCAGGAAGATTCAGCCCTTCCACTGTTCATGAATTATTCAGCAGATTTTCATCTTGTTAAATCAAGAAGAAAAAAAAAAAAAGAAAAAACCCAAACCCAATCGCGCTCCAGAAATACTGGAACTACAGAGTCTGACTCTCTTCTCGTTGCTGTACTGGTTTCCTTGTTCTCACCCATTTACACGACTTTCATTTTTCAGCAAGCTTTCAAACTAGTGTCAGTCACTTCTGTCTGAAATACAACACATTTACTGTAGCGACTTCTCTACTAGACACTGAAGCTGTTTTGTTCTGATCGTATTTTTGTTAAGCAAAAGCATACTGTCTTTCTGTAAACATTTTTAGAACTGCTCTTTTAAGAATATAGCTTCCAAATTAAATCTTTCAAACATTATAGATGCACAGATTCCTGGTAAGACAGCACTTTATTTTGGGAAGCTGGTCCTCAAACTCCACATCCTGCATTTCTTCATAGAGGTTTCAGCCTGTCTCATCTAGTGGGACATCCTGCATTTCTTCATAGAGGTTTCAGCCTGTCTCATCTAGTGGGACATCCTGCATCACTAACCCCCTGGAGGTGAGTGTTGGTATGTCTAGGTGCACAGGTAAAGTGGAACCAGCATAGACTTTGAAACAGTGGCATACACCCAAATCAATTCCAAAAGCACCTTCCCGCAGAACTGAATGAAAGGCTCTCACAGTCCAAAGGCTGGTTGGAAAGCAGGGCTTGGCTCTCATTTTCAGGATATTAGTTTATTTATATATATTATAGTTTACAGTTTATTATATAATAGTATATATTATTTTCAGGAGAATTAGTGCTGGGATTCTCGCAGGTACGCTTCGGCGCTTTGCTCAAACAGCAACAAGACACTAACTGTCCTTAACCTCAGCAAGGTTTAATAAGAAACTTGAGTAAAACAATTGAGATTTCTTCTTAAAAGCATTTCAGAACAGGAATGGCAATTAATTTTGCAGTGAGTTTAAGTGAGAAGCTGCTTTTCTAAGGCTTGAAAAGTAATTACTTCAGCTGATAATATATTATCTGTATACTGACCAAGATATTTTTAGATACTGTTAGACTCAGAATGCTGATAAATGACAATACCAAAGCAGTACTTTAGGAGGTCATCATAGCGTGGGTCAGTGGATTATTTTGTTGCAACGTAGCGTATCTTTTATTTAATGAAAGATTCCTGTTTGTAGTTGATAGGACTGTTGATCCAAATATGGATACGTTACAAACAACGTGTATCTGTTCTTTTTTAATTAACTAGATTGCTCATGTGCTTAAGGTTGAAGACATACCTGAGCAATGTACTTGATCAGGCCCCTGATTACCATATTTTTTGCCTGCTGCGCTTTATGTAGATCTAATCAAATGTCAAACCTTTTGAGGCCTTTCATTGTTTAGCTGTCAGTAGAGAACAGTTATTATAGAAACTGAAATCCTCCTCTTTCTGCAGTACTGTAATTGAAAAATATTCTTTAAATCTGTAACAAGAAATATCTCACTAACCAGAAAGCTTCACAAAGCATAAAGAAACAGTTCCATAAGGCGCTATCCACAGAATTGCAGGCTCAGTAAAGACCTCTAGGCTTATGTAATCCATCCTTACATGTTTATCAAATCTCCTTTTAAAGATCTCGTGTACTTTTTCTCCCAGAACAAGAAGATACATTTATATATGAAACAATGGAATCGGTGAAGTCCAAAGAGGAGTGAACAGACCATATAAAATAAAATTCAAGGTATTTCTTAAAAGCTGAAAGATTGTAAAGACTCCTAATACCAGTGGCTGTCCCCAGCTAATCTTGGTCTTGTTGATTGCTAGAGTACTGGCTATATTCATTACACATTTTTTAAGAACACAAGATGTCCATTGGCTATCATATAATAAATCAATAGAATTAAAGAAAAAAATGGGGAAGGATTGCTTTCAGTGTACTAGACATGTTTAAATTGACTACTCTTTTGTATATCCTATACGCATCCAAATCAACATCCTTTAATTGCCTCATTGCAGTGACAAGAACCGTTTATTGTGTTATTGGAATAGACATTCACTAGAAGCTTCTAAAGCATGTGTTCTACTCCAGGCTTTGCTATTCTTTTAGAGTTGCTGTGCAACAGTCACACACTATCCACATCATCTATTGCAGGCTTACCTGACAGGAATATTAAGCACCATAGATAATTTATCATGCAACACAACAAATTTGCTGAAAATCATCAACAGAATTAAGCTAAGATAAAACTATTTGTGACAATTTTTTCACCAATGCAAGAAGAAAAAGCTAAATGAAAATGTGGTTGTTTGCATTCTCGTGTATAAAGACCCTACTATTAGTGAGGCTAAATCGAAGTATTGCACACGGGAAAAAAAAAAAAGACAAGTTACACTACACTTGTAACAAGGATCCTTGTCCAGGAAAACAATGTTTCCTCAATTAAGATACATTTTAAAATATGGTAATTAGAAATGTCACAAATCCTTGATGCTTCTAAACAAATACAGGAATATTAACTAGAAAGATTAGTTGTAGAAGATACCCCTCATACTCATTTCTTTTCCAATGAAGGTTAATTAAGACAAGAAACAAGGAAGCTGGCTGATATATGCATTTTATTATCAATTAGCTGTATTCATGTACATATATCTACATTCCAAAATGAAACAATTTTTTTTTTAAAGGAAATTTATAACAAAGCACATGACTTTTTTCATAAGAGGTAGAATTACCTTACCATTAATCTATAATTCATATATAGTATGTTGTATATATATATATATATGCACACACATATGCTACTTTGTGTGTGTATATTTTACATATACACAATTGTGGAAAAGTACAGTATTGCATGTAAGTTTTATTCAGTGATTTGTAGAGCTGCTCTCAGTATTGCTTATTAACACTTTCAGTATAACTATGTAGCAATTTGGTGGCAACTTCAGTTGCAGGGCAAACGCAGATCATTCACGTCTTCAGAAACAAAGACTGACAAATCAACAAGTTCTATTTTCATGTTCCTGTAGATGTAGGAAAAACTCATGGCTAACAAATCTGTTTTGTGTTTGTCTTCTAGTTTTCACAGATGCTTTTTTTTATTATTATTATTTTTGCTGTGATCGCATTTGTGGAATTCTGAAAAACTTCTACATGATCTGTAATACTTCGCTGTAAGATCATTTCATTCAAAGATTCATTCCTAATTGCAGCTAATGTATTAAAGAATATCCTTACTGCTAACAAAACTGTTGTGTGACACAGCAGTTTAAACTACCTATATATCTGACAATAGTTTTCAAATTCAAAGGTTCATAGAACATCCAGTCACTAAGTGACAATTCAGTATACTTCCAAACATTCACTTCGGTGTGCTTTGCTACTGAAACTTGCAAAATGCAAGTGTGCAGCACAGCCAAATACAAACATTCTTACTTTGTCAGTATGCTTTGTCTGTCTTCATTTTTGCAGTTGACATTGCATAGCATAATTTAACATTCTACTTTTAAAAGTTAAAACAATTCTTTAAAGTAAAATGAAAAAGTATTAATTAACTGAATAATCAGCTAAGTTACTTTCTTTTTGCAATGACGATGAAGGTTGCAATGTAACTCATTTTTCTTTCATAGCATCTCCTCATGAAACATCAGCAGCTGAATGTGGAAAGCAGACTATGTATCCAAGTGCTTTCAGTTGATAGAGTAATAACTATAGTCTCATTAGTTAGACTTCCACCAAGTTATCAGAAGACCAATCAGCGAAAGAGGTAATTACATTAGCCTTTAAGCAATAATGGACCCAGAAAACAAGAAAAACCTCTTGTTCATTAAAAAAATAATATCTTTGATAAACATGTAAAAATTCTTTAAAATACACATTTTGGTAGCAAAGTGAACAACTAAATTAAAACATTCTAATTTTTACATAATTCTTATATATATTGCTTAATAAAATATTCTCTCAATACATTTTAAGACTGTACACAAGTTAATAAAGTCATAATGAAATTAATTAGAAATATATTCAAGTAGTTTCAACATTAAAAATTTATATCTGTATATAACATGGAGGAATAATTTCCATAAAACAACTTCAGTGCATCTGCAGTAGTCATGAATAAGAAATTTCTGTCTGTTGAGAAGTTGTTCCTTGGTGTTATGGTTTTAATACAACTTTTATTGAAAACTCCTCAACGGAATGAGCAGCTTCTTTCCTTAAATTCTTCTTCATGAAGGATTTCCACGGTAAGAACTCAGCAGGTTTCACCAAAGCAGCAAAGCTTTAGTACTGAACATATTCAGACTGAAGGGACTGTGCAGAGAAGAAAAACTGATTAAAACTCATTGAGGTAGTACTTGTGTTTAATATGTATTTTGCACTTCAAGATAGGGAAGAATGGAATGACAGTAAGGAGAAAAAAAAAGAACAGTTGGAAGGAAATCTGAATTTCTGCATTCTGATTTAGGTAAAAAAAAAAAAAAAAAAAAAAAAGCTAGGAACTCAAAAATTGGATGCTAAAAATGCATCAATTTCTCTGTATCTACACTTCTCCAAACCAAATTATAGAGTTCCTTGGAAAGAATACTAAAAAATCTATAATATTACACCTTAAGACAATACCTTAAAGGTGTATTGGGAAAATGTATGATTGCAGCTATGAGAATTGAGTTGCTTCTATTTATCCCAAATGGGAATGAAAGTGCTACTGTGGAAAGACCGAGGTGTTGGTCTAGGTGTTGGTTTACACAGTGACATAGGAAATTCATGCTGTGTAGCTAATTACCAAGGGGAAAAACATTACAGCACCACAAGCCTACTATATTTATTTGCATTACTGGTTCTATTAAAGTTTTCTTACAAAATCAGCAATCGGTTCACATGACATCCAAATGTTTTATTACCTCCTATACAAATGTGGTCAGGAAGTTGTTGTGATGATCAGAAAATCTTATTTGAGAGCTCTTCATTCTACTGGCACGGTTATAAACAAATAGGTAATAATAAATGTAACTCATCCACACTCTACATCCCACCCTTATATTTTCAAACTGCATAAAATCAGTAGGATCAGAGAAAACTACTGGAGACCAACATGAGTCCTAAGAACTCAGAACCTTAGATGTCTTCTCTGTTTTTCCACTATAACTAACTTGTCATTGTAGAAATGGTCTCTGGCATCCGTAACAAAACCTATAAGTAGAAAAAGCACATAATAAGCTTTTAAAGCCCTAGTATCACTACCTTTTTTTCTGCTGTCCACCAAAACTAAACAAAATATATTTCTGAGGTTGTCTTTCAGGTACGCATTTCTCATCTTCAAGGTCTGAGATTATCTGGGTAGTCTTTCCTATGTGCACATAGAGATTTGAACATCACTGACTAATAGGGGTCTGGTTTTAGCACCAAATGGACTTGATAAAAAGATATTGTGTAATACTGAATTTTCTGTAAAACAGAGCAGATGTAAAGAGCATTCTTTTTCTTTACTACAGGCATTAAATACACAGTCAGAGGAGTTTATTTTTCCCCCCTCTGGGTTCTTTAATCATTCTGACTTCATGAGCTTTGGTGAGAATATTTGTTAAGCCATTTATTACATATGTAAGAGACCAACAGAAGGAATATCCCTTCATTAATGTATACTTAAAACTTCTGTTCAATTAATGATCCTCAAAGGAGCAAAAAGCTCTTCCTAATGTCTCAAATCCTCTTTGGAATACAGTGAAGAATTAAGTTTAAGCAGCATTTTTTCCCCAGAGTAAGATTAATTTGCTATACTTCCCATAAGGTTCCAAAACACGATAACAGTTCTAACAACTCAGTTGTTGTACAGCATACACAGCATGCAGACTAATTTGAAAAATTAAATATATCTGTGGTATTAGTTTTTCTTTTTTTTTCTGACTTCTGCTGTTAAGTAATTAATGCTCTTAACATCTCACACTGTCCAAAGAGATTGACTAATATTTCAAAACTTGTTAACTGTTTTTTTTTTTTCCTCTCAGATCTCAGATGGAGGAGTTTTCTATTTTAAAATTCACATTCCTACCTCCTATTTGCAGTGACTCAAAGTATAGCCTGTAATTCTGAAAGCTTTATTAAAAACAGAAAGCCCCAATCTACCGTTACAAGTCACAGGCTTGTATTTAAGAAACTCTTAAAATAGAGAAAAAGAAGAAAAAAACAGAAACGCTGAATTGCCATGAAGAGAGAACAAAGTTAAGTGGATTTTATCTTTATCTATTGCACTTGGTGCAATCCTACAGTGGTCTTAAGCACTATCAAGCTTGGCATTTTATACCCAAGCTTCTGATATTTAAATAAACTAAGAATTAGATGACTTCCCTATCATTAATGATACCTTTCTAATGAGGTTCATGCTGAAGCAACTGCTTAGATTATTATCACTTTCCTTGCTCAGTAGGAGACACTGAAAGCCTCCTGGAAAAGAAAATAAATCACAGATCCATCTAGGTGTGAAAACCATACTCATATGCATTTAAATTCAGGACTAAGCCACCTGAAAACTAACATCTGAAATGCAACAATCCTATATCACTTATGTCTATCTATCAGGAAGTGAACACACTCTCCTCCAGCAAATAAAATTCTAATGTTATGTCATGATATTTTTAGGATAAAAGCCTCTACTTGCAAGTAATTTAAGTCTTTTTGAATGATCCAAAGTGTTATTGCAACAGGAGTGGTATAGAAGACAAGAATTAGCAAAAAAAAAAACCAAAAAAAAAAAAACCCACACCTCAAGATCCACTAAAATAAATCAGAATGTATTAAAAGGATCTACATACACCTTTGAAATGATCCTTTCAGTCTGCTAGATTTACAGATAAGATAAGCTACCGTCTGTCTTTTTTTTACCATGCAAAATGTCTTATACCCTGCTAGATTCCCTAATGTTGAGAAAGCCTCTTCTACAAGTATCAAGATCATATACTTAAACTTTAGAATACTGTAATGCTTCTCAATTTTTATTTTTTTTTATTTTTTTGGGAGATTTTTACATCTTGCCAGTTTCCATGGCAGCTATAGAAGCAAAATATGACTCATCTTAAGACTACCCAGATACATAGTCCTTGGTAAAAAACAAAAAAATACAAGGAGTGATAAAGGAGTGATATTTTGTTTTTACAATAGTTATAAATCCAAAGAAATCTTATTGCTGTACCTTAGAAATGGTTATACTCAATAAGACTTTCTGCAACTTATAATTGTGAAATGATGCTTAGTCAAAGCATCCCACTTGTTAAGTTTGCAAATAAAGTATTCTACTTGGGTAGAATGGCAAGTTGTCTATTCTATGAAATCAAGTTTTTCACTTAATTCATCAGCATACAATATGATGTAATGAAATGGATTTGCTTCCAGGCTTACTCTAATGAAAGAACAAAAGCCATCAGGGAAAACAAAAACATGGCTGACAACAAATGGAAGAGACAGGAATGGTTATTTTTGTTTGTTTTAACCAGAATATGGAATAGTAGTAGTAGTAATAAATGGGTGGTAAAATTTTAAATGACAAAAAAAGAGAAAATAAGAGTATTAAAAATGTTTTCTTCCATACTAGAAGAAAGAATTATGTACTTGCATCACCTAAATTAAGTTCCTTGTTCTCTCAAGAGACTAGTGAGACTGAAGAGCATTGATTAGAAATGAATACTTACTGTCCTAACCATCTTAAAATGCTCCTCCACCACTGGTTGTATAATAGCTAACGAACTACTGAAGAGAAACGAAGACGATAAGGTGATTTTCTAAAATAAGAACACCTGTACAATCACATATGGTTAGCTTGACATCTGACTCTGGTAAGTGAATTCTGCTCATAAAATAGCACAGGAATATAACTCCTATCATTCAAGAGCTCCTTGATAAGTTAGATGAATAAACGTAGCTTTTGATGTATGTGATAGACTTCTGTCAAGTGCATTACCTTTTATACTCCAATTAGAAATAAGTGCAACTTAATAAAAACACATTGCATCAATACTAAGGTTTGGTTGACAAGACTCCAAATAAATTCAGCATCTAAGACAGTGAAGTGGGAATCATTGAAAATAATTCTATTTTTAACAGAATTCTGCAAGAACAGGTATTAAGGCTTGATGTTACTTTGTTTTGTCCACGAGCTTACCTAAGACCACTGATGAATACCACCACAAGCAAAATATTACTTCAACCACTGACATCCAAAGATGAAAAAACAATCTTTCATGATTGGCAAATGGGTTCCAATAAGGAATGGGGAAAAAAAAAAAACTAAAAAAGATTATACTTTTTATGATTACATTCAGTTAAATGCTGTTTTACAAAGAAAAAAAAGAACAAGGAATGCAAGACATTAAACAGTGAGAGTCAGTATCTTGTTTATGCAAGGACTTGCCACCCTAATGAATTTCCAACACAGTATGGTTGAAGCTTTTAATTTATAACCAGGATGCCACTAGGTAAAGCAGGTTTCAGCACGTGAAAACTGAGTGCTGCCTCTACTTACTGGAGAAAACCACCAAAAAACAGTACAGGATTCTTACAGGATCAAAATGGTGTTTGAACCAGAGTCATACATGCAAAGAGTTCAACTTACTAAAAGAAAACAAAGCTAAGATAAAATGTCTTCATGACAGTAAAATAAGGAAATAAAGGAATGTAGCAGTACATAATAAAAACATATACCAAGCTTCAAATGAAATATGAAAATGTTTGAAGTGTGACTATATTCAGTCGCTCAGACCAACCATCATGAAAAAATGATATTGTCTTCAAAATAAACCACTGTCAAGAAGGACAAGTGTTAGCCACTTATAGACTCACTACCAAAAAAGTACAAAGAGATTAAAAGGAGAAGACAGTTACGTTTCTAAGGTATAGTACTTCTAAAGCTTTAGCTCTTAGAGTAACTATGCCTATTGTTCCTGTCATGGTTTCAATTATCATTTGGTACACCTGTAACTAACTTCAGAGCTATTATGAACAACAACAACTTGTTTTTCACAACACTACAGTTATAAAGCAACCCTTCCCCTTAGGGCTCTCCATGTAGTTTTACATATTTATGCATAATATACACCTCTAACTACAATTTGGATAAAACAAAGAATTGCTGCTAGCAGCACGTTTACACAAAATACAACAGAAAAGAATGGGAATGGACTGACTTTCCAAATAATTACTGCTCAAATATATTTAAAAGAAACAATATTGAAGTGAGAAACCCAAAAAAGAGGATGTTTTGCCACTTCAATGTTCAGTTCGGATTAGTGATTGCTCTTTACCTTTATTTACATACTGAATTTTGTTCCAGCATAATCAGCTGGAGCCTCTGTCAATCCTCTCCTGAGAGCTGAACACCGTAAGATAGGAATAGGATTACCTAGAAAAGCTGACTTCCCCAAATCATCAGAATTTATGATAAAGAGTCAAAGTCGTATCCTAGATAAAACATCGTCAATTTGCTAAACAGTTTTTCACCTTCTCATCTCTGCTTGGAAGTATTCAACCAATTCAGCAAGTTCAACCAAAACAGTTCTGTTTTTCCAGAACCACTTTGATTTCTGAGTTGGTTTATCCATTCACCTTGAAACAAACCTCATTTATATAGTTTGTTTCCTAAGTTCCCATATAACAGGTAAAAACAGTTCCCAATTAAAAAGGTAAAACAATTTTGTATAACTTAAAGGATGTGGTAATGTTCAAGAAGTCCCTAGCCAATAAGCTAATGCTGATGTTTAAAGCATGGCTCAAATTCAAATTTAAATTCAAGATAGAACACCTAGTGATCTTATGATCGTGGAACATTAACGTTTCTTTGCAGATAGGCTAGTATCCACCAGTGGATGTAGTGGATGCACATCCTAGCACAGCATCTCTACTCCTTTTCCAGTGCAAACATAGATCAAAACTAGAATACAGAACATCTAAGAGGTATTGAGTTCCCTCACAGTAACTTCATTTTCAATATGCTTTTTATACTAGCTAGTTTTCAGTCCCACATGTAAATTAATTCTACAACAGAATAATGTAAATGAATGAAACTTATACTCCCAAGCTACAAACATGTGAATTCTGAACACTAAGTGGTGCCATATACCAACTGTGTAAACAGACACAGATGGGTTCAATTAATTCTAGACAATACATTTTATTAAGAACACTGCAGTAACTTCTATAATTAGTAGGACATCAAATCTCAAATCTTTGAAGGCCAGATATTCTATGTGATTTTTTAAAATGTCTTTCTCCCTAAAATTGATAATCAGCACGTACAGTTATTTCTGATTTCAAAACAGAACTGTTTCTAATCTCTTCTCTCTGCAATTTGTAAAGAGCACTAATTTATTCACGCATCCTCTTTCTGCATACTCCTTCACACAGAAAAAGGGGCACAAAATAAGTCCAAGGCAGCAAAGCTGATGAGATATAAAAGCTAATTTTGAACAACCTGATCTAGCTGTAGATGTTACTGCTCACTGCAGGGAGTTAGACTAAATGACAAAGTTTTCCTCCAACTCAAACAGTCCTATGATTCTGTAAAATGGTGAGACCATTGGAAATGTACTGACATAAAATACTTTTCCTTTATTGTTAGAAAAGAACTTGGGTATCGTGTCAAGAACGCTCATCTTTTAAGCAAGTTCTAGCTTTCAGAATGCAGTGTTTTCCGTTTAGTATGATATATACAAAAGTTTATTAAGATCTATTGCTTCATGAAGATTAAAATACACAATAAATTTTATCCATAATAATGTTATAATCTGAAAGGAAAATCTAAAGGAAATAAAGACCCATAAAAAGATATCATGAAAGGTATTACTTTGAGTTTAGGGATGAACTACTTTCATGAAACCTCTGCAATGCAGATGCTCAAAAGAAGCAGAAAAAGAAGCAGTTGAAATGATAGTTAATTAAAAAAGGTAACAGACAAGTTGCTGTTAAGAAATATTAAAGGAAGTCAGAAAATCATGCTAGTTTGAGATTTCTTTTTGCAACAGCTTCACTCAGAGAATCAAGAAAGATAAGAATTGGTCAGATGCCTGAAAGGGTTGTTGTGACTGCCAACTTACAGGAATTGATCGACTCTGGTATTGTGCTGGAAGAGCTGTAAGGCCCATAAAGGAGACTTGATGCATACTCATCTGTCACGGTGCTGTGAAAACTGGTTTGGCTGCTCAGGTTGTTGCCATTATTGCTGCTTCTGTTGTACAAGTTGTTGTTCAGTTCATGGTTATTTCTGCGAGGCAGCTGCAAGCTGCCATTCAAGTGGCTGGAGATTTGGCTTACAGAAAAACCTGTCCTAGAGGACAGTGATGTCATTTTGCTCTCATCATCTGAAGCAGCGTACAGGTTCCCTAGAGAACTGGCTAATCTGGAGTTTATAGAAACGCTGAACGGAAAACACATGTGGGGAAAAAATACAAAGAATATATGTACAAAGACATACAAAAAATAGCAGATAATTCAGAAGACACTAGGTGAATAACATGGAGCTATGTGCACACATTTCAGAATGCCCCATCTTCTCACTCTTGAACAACAAACAACAGAATTCTTTGTCAGGAGTTCCCAAACATTGTTTACTCAGACGTTATCACTGCCAGCTTTCATCTCTGTCAAACCACGTGTGCATGCAGGAGATTGTGTTAAATGCACAGGCAATGACTGACCTACTGTGAAGTATTTTGTCTACATTTAAGTTTATGAACTCCTCATTTCTTAAATCAGTGACATGATACAAGTCTTCAATCAAGCCAATAAGAAAAATAATAAAATTTGAGAATAAAAATAGGGTGTCCAGAAATACCTCATTGATTAAGTTAGCTGTTTTAAATAAAATATTTGTGCCCAGAAGCTATGAAAAATGCATCATCCTAAATTTTAATTAACATCCGTAACTACCTCATACAAAAATAATAATGGAATTGAATGGCAATTAATCAAAGATCTACAAAAATAATTTCAGTTACTACTTAGTATTCTTCTGAGATTAGTAATATACAGATTTAGAGGAAAGCTTCTTGCAAAGCTTCTATTAAGCAACATAATACTGCTTCTGAATGGATGCAATTATCTCTTGCCAGTAGTATTTCTCATTAATCTCTTAATGTGCAGGTAACCAAAATTTGGCTAGCAGAACAGCAAATCATGTTGTAAGTAAATCAAAGCCTTCTTAGAAGTTCTACATAGACTGCATATGCACTGAAAGTCATTGTAATATTCAATAACTATTTGTATCAAAATAAGAAAAAAAAAATAACCTTTTAAGATTTGAGCCTGAGGATGAAGTAATTCTGCTTATTCTTTCTGCAGACGATGAATTAACTGTCATGATTTTTGAGGCCTTCAATGGAGATACAGATCCTTCCGTGCTGCCTGCAGTATTCAGTCTAAAAGTAGCAGAGTTTCAGTAAGAAATAAGATTATGATTGAAATAGACATCTCAAACACATAGATACTCAATATATAGACTCATACGTTCAAAAACTAAGTTCTTAAGTAAAATAACTAAGTTTTAAGTCAATTTTCCTGGTGATGGTAGAGTTTTTATTAAGTTGCATGAAACATACAGCTTTTCCTAGGATGTGATCTGTAGTGACCAAATTCTGTAAGCATGGTGCACTGAACTATTCAAAAAAAAAAAAAAAAGATAGCATTATAGCAATCAATATTAGTTTAATAAAAGTTAACGAACAAGTCTCCTAGCAGCACCATGACATTCTCTTGATCCTTAGACTGAGAAGTATTGTGATCAGATGTTAGGGACAAAACACCTTGGGTACAAGTCTCTTACTACAAGCACAGAAGAAATGACAGAGCAAAAATACTTCACACCAAGAAAAGGTAAACAGAAGTCCTCCAAGAGTAGACATCTGGAGTAATTCATCCAAGTGCAAGGTCCTGCACCTCAGACTGTGGCAATTCCAAGCACAGATACGGGCTATGCGAAGAATGGCTTGAGAGCAGGACTGAGGAAAGGGATTTGGGAGTGTTGGTTGATGCAAGATTCAACATGAGCCAGTAATGTGCACTTGCAGCCCAGAAGGCCAGCTGTATCCTGGGTTGCATAAGAAGTGTGATCAGCAGGTTGAGAGAAGTGATTCTGCCCCTGTGCTCTGCTCTTGTGAAGATCAGAGGGCTGGAGCATTTCCTCTATGAGGACAGGCTGAGAAAGCTGGGGTTCTTCAGTCTGGAGAAGAAAAGGCTCTGGATGGACCTTATAGTAGCCTTACAGTACTTGAAGGGGGCCTACAGGAAAGCTGGGGAGGGACTTTTTATAAAGGCATATAGCAACAGGATAAGGGGAAATGGTTTTTAACTGGAAGAGGGTAGATTTGGACTAAATATTGGAAGAAATTCTTTACTGTAAGGGTGGTGAGACACTGGAATATGTCACCCAGTGAGGCTGTTACTGCCCCCTTCCCTGTAAGCATTCAAGGCCAGGATGGACGGGGCTTTGAGCAACCTGGTCTACAGGGAGGTGTCTCTGCCTATAGCAGGGGGGTTTGAAATAGATCATCGTAAGGTCCCTTCCAATCCAAACCATTCTATGACCTCAAAAATCCAGGCTGGAATAGAATTGAAGGTAATGTGTTCTTCTTCATATTAATGCTTTATAGTGACAATTTTGTGCTTTTTGTACTGTATTTTAAATGCAATGGTAAGGGATTAAACTATCAAAAAGAAGTAAAACAAAAAAACAATCATCAGGTATCTCTTGTATATATATATATAAAAAATATTTATGGTATGCACTAAGCAGTATCTCTATCTCATCTACAAAGAAAAGCTTGACACAAGGCAATGATCAGCTGATTTAGGCTTTAAGATAAGTATTTTTACAGAAATAAAGTGGCCACGAATCAACTATCCTTCACTATACAACTGTATAGGTATCAGAAATTATGACTGGGGAAACTACTTGTGTGTGCTAGTTATCAAGGACAATTCAAGGTGTCTCTGAAGTAAAACTGTGCTCCCGTCTGTTAATTTTTTTTCTGTTTCCAGCTGTTTAAGAAAGTTCATTCCCCGACATCTCTCAGAAATTTGAAACTACTGATCACTTGATATAATATGCATAACTCAGAACACTGAAAATAGAAGACTGGAATGGTAAACATTTATAATTCTAATTTAATACAATAGATAATATCTTGAATACCTGAAAGGTTGCGATATGGACCTGGTGTGCAGTTTCATTTCTTGCAGCCTAAAGAAACCAAAGAAGCAATCTTATGAATCAAAGGAAAACTTTATTTGTTTAAGGTCTAATTGCAAGTTTCATATGGGTTTTAAAGTATGAAACTAATAAGAGTTAAAAATTATTGATGATTATTTAAAAAGTTATAAGGTTTAAACAATTGCAGGTTTAATTCTAAAGTTTCCATTTTTACAGATCTTGAAAGATTCAAAATTTACATAAAGAATAGAGGTAAATAACTACATAAATTAAAGAACATTTTTGTTAGGAATATAAGTTTTAAAATGCTAGATAAACATAAATCTGAAGTTTTCAAAATATTTCTCTGCTTTACCTTCCATGACTAAATAGTAAGTAGTGTTTAAAGTAGTTAATCAGAACAGGAAGACAGAAAACAAAGGAATATATTAATAAAACAAATCTGCAACTAATATACACATGCATGGATATTTCCACCACAGAAGTGGCACAACTAGTACAACTGCTTAAACAAGACTGTGTGCTTCTATGAAGATCTGATAGCAAGATATGAATGTAAAATTGCAAATCACTTCAGAATTACATAATTACCTCAGAGCTCCAGTTGTAGAACATGGCCGTCTCCGACTTTTTAAGGCATGAAGTTTATCTCCCTGTGTCAGGCCATCCTTAGTTTCCACACCTTCTTTGTCTTCAAAATCATACTGGTAAAAAAAAGTATGCAAGCAAAAAAAAAAAAAAAAAAAAAAAAATAGTCTTAAGAGCAAAATAGTTTCTGAGTACCAAGCATCCCCTTCACAAAAGGCTTATCTACCATCTTGTGCATTGATGGGGCACTACTCCATCTATGCACAGTTCTAGTGAATAAAATGTGGTGCTGCACAAATACGTGTTCACACAGGCCTTTTACAGACTCTAAGCTCAGAATCAGTTCAGGATGCTTGAATCAAATGCCACTTTAAATATAGCGTTCAGAATGTTAACAGCTTTAATATTATACCTGTAAAAACCTGAAAATCATACTACAAAGGAAGTTACAGTAGAAAAAAAGCTCTGAATTTATGCTCTGAATCTGTACATAAGCTGCTATATTGGATTCAGTAAAGTTAGAATAGCTCAGATTCAAAACCATTATTTTTACCTATCCATATAGGATGTGCCAGCTGTTTTCATTAGGCAAGGAAGATCATCCCAATGCAGTGTTATATCCTCCCATTGGCAATCTAGATACTTAACTTTACAGATTCTAAGCCACATATTGAACTTCAAAAAGGGCAACAGTTATCAGTATAAAATAGTCCTCTATTATATGATCCACTGTAACCTGAATATCTTGAATGCATTTCTGCAAAGGTACCGTTTGAAGATGCCCATTGTTTTCCTGGTCTTTTACATCATATAAGAAAGCTCTTCAGTTAATACAGAGCTAAAACAGGATGACCAAATGAATTTTAAGTTTCTCTAACTCACTTCTCACAGCTGTAGGAAGCTACATTTGGAATTCTTACTGGCTAAGAAACGGAAGTACGTTCACTGTAGCTCTCAGTCCATGCTTCTCCTTTAAACATATAATTGTCAAATTCTTACTGTAAGTGTACACATAACAGCAGTAATCCACTATTCTGCAATAAAAGAATGGGCATCTGTACATTCACATGTTATCAGCTAGAAACTCAGAATAAATTGATTTCCAATTGGAAAAATGTTTTTTTTTTTCCCCATTCTCAAAATAACAAAAAAAAAAGACTGAAAAACATAGAAGGTAGATTTGAAATCATGCACATCTACTTGAAGTCTAAAAAGTGATCTATACACTCCCTTCACAAGAATCTTCTAAATATAATCCAAACTTTTTCTATATGTTTTGAGGAAATTTGAGATCTCATAATCATCACATTTTAAAAAGAAAATACTAACAAGTCCAAGAGCAACAAAAACCTTAAAATGTTCTAGTTATTACAATCAGATCCATCTCTGCTTGCTTGAAACTTACGAATCCTTACCTCCCCATACTGATCCAAGTCTTGCACTTTATTCAGGCTGTCACTGATCGACATATCATTCAAACCGCAGAGAACTCTGTTAATGTTTCCATCAACTACTCGCTGTTTCTGTTTCGATTGTATGAGATCTCCCTCCAGCCATAACATTGCTTGCTTCCTTTTGGATTCAAAGCAAATTATTAATATCAATAAATTTGCACACAAACAATATGAAATTATGCTACTGTTACAGACTGCTTATGTTAGAATCTTTTGTACATTTTTGTCTGAAAAAAAAAAAAAAAAAGACGCGTCTATCACTAGAAAAATTATCTTAAGTGGTTAACAGAAAACAACCACAGAATCTTTAGGAAGTCTGCAGTCAAAAGAAGTATTTCAGATGCTGAAGTGTTATTTTACAAAGCCATAATAGGAAAATAATTAATCTAAACTGGAATTCATAATAATACTTAAAGGTTTTTAGAAGCCATTTTAAAAAATCATATAAAATAATGTTTTTATATACATAAAGAATAAACGATAGTGCACTTCAACTTCACATTATCATGGAGTTCTGCGTACATGACTAACGTAAAACTACTACTGGCTTGCACAGCGAAAGGGGTCATAGTCATGCAAAGCTGAACATGTCTCTGGCATCAGCTTTCAGAAAATTCAAGTTGATATGCTTTAGACAGGTGGCAAAAATAATCATCATTTAATTGCAATGCACATAAGCTGAGCTGAATATTAATATTAAATTCCTATACAAAAAAAAAAAAAACAACCAACCAAACAAAAAAACAACAACAAAAAACACCTAGGGAATTAAGTGAGAAGATACTTTCACTGGAAAGTTTACCTTAATCAGTAGCCTGAGCCAATTACTCAAGCTTACATAACAACAAATGGGAAAGGTAAACACTTTCAGAGCTTTTGCTATATCCTAAGAAAACATGAAGTGGAAATGATGGAGAAAATGGCACCACTTAATCCACCTAACAGGCAGCCTAGAGTGCATGCTTGAACTTGAGCACTTCGGAAATCTTTCAAGATTAATTGTATTCACAGTAGCTAAGTCATTTGAGACATTCTTAGCCAAGAGATGTGTCAAGAAACAAACAAACAAAAATAAAATTAAAAAAAAAAAAATCACCTTTTCAAAAGACTGAAGAGATGAAGCTTTGACGTCTGTGAAGGCACAGACAGCAAATATGTAAGACTTCTGTGAGATGCAACATTGTAATCCTGAGGCCAGGACTACTAAAATGTCCTGAGACATTTTACATTAGACTGCTAAAACCAATGTTAGCTCCTTCCTCTTCGTTCCTATTTTGACACTACTGGTGACTTGAATTTTGTCTGAATATCAAAAATAGATATTCAGATAATAAATTTACAACTTTTACTACAGCTCTTCACTACAAAAATAGATATGAATGAAAAAAATCTGAAAGATCTCTGCCTATCTACCAAATCAAACTATTTAAAGGCCACTACATAAAAGACATGGATCCTGTTTCTCTCATCTCAAGTGAATAGTACTTGATAATCCTCCATTTCTTATCTTCCACTCAATTGTGCTCATTTGTGGAAAAAACCCATCATCCAAAGCTTAAACTGCCTTCAGAGAGCCCTTGTGGTTTGTGAAAGTTTTTGATTCACAGTATTTTCAATGGGTGGCCTCCTCTCAAATAAAGGAGCACCCATTCCAGAGTAGAAAGCAAATCAGAATACTAATTCATGCTCCATTTCTCTTATGAATTTAGTAATACTTCTTTATCTCATAACCTATGCATTTTAGCTATAAGGTCAGATAATGATTTACTGTATTTATATAGTATTATTTATTCACAATAATGAAAATGCCTTCAGCTAAATATGAGCAGGATATCAACTCAAATCAGCATGAATGCTATAGAAGTACACAATGTAAAAGCCACTATGAAATTAAAACAATTAAATAAACATCAACATTACTAAAGCCAGCATAATTTTGCCCATTATTTCCAGTTAGAATCACTCGGGGTCAAATCCTGACTCTCTCATTCTAAATATCTGTAACCTGTTTTCAAAACAAAGGATACCGACAATTTTAAGAAGAAAGTATATTAAAACCATACATTTCTGCTTTGCTAACAGCTATTAGCTCCAAGTAAAAAATGTTTCATACATCATGCTAGAAAACTGACAGAGACTGTAAGCTCTCCGCCACATACTTATTTAATCCCTAGTTACAAGAAAGAAAAGTAACACCAGTTTTTACTATGGTAATTTCAAGTGTCATCATAGGCTTAAAGTTACATAGCCTATCCTTCCTACATCAACATTTTAACAAACGTTTACTCTTTATGTTATATCAACATACAAATTGATATTGCCAAAACATTTGTCTTTATCTCTCAAATCCCTTAGAACAAAAACACAGAGTCTTGACACCTCTGTCCCGGAAGGCAACAAAATGTACAGCACTCCAGAGAAGATGATTGCTGCCTGTTAAATTCATCTCAATCTCAGCTAACTTAAAATATCTTATGAAAGGCAGTAATATACAACTCCAGTAGGCAGAAAGATCTGTAAGAAAAGCAATTGATTCCTAGTAGCAAATGACATGCACGTACTCTTCCAAGAAGTGTTGTTGAGGTCCTATAATAGAGCCTGGTCGACATATTCTTATCCAAGCAATGGCTTCAGCATGTGTGAACCTGTAGTGTTTCATTATGTAACAGGCAATCAGTGTTCCTGTTCTTCCCAGGCCAGCTAAAGAAACACACATATTAACATTCACATACAAAGTTGTAAGTATCTTCTAATTATCAAATTCAGTTTCAAGATTAGAAGACTTTTGAAACATTATGTAACCTTAATATTTGAAGAAACAATTTCTGATTTGATATTCTGTTTACCACACTACACAATTTCAGTTCTGTATGTACACAACTTAATATATCATATTTTTTAAAAAATTAACACCTTTAAAGAAAACATGCAACTGATAATCCTGTTGTGCACTTCTACCTCAAACTATTTTAAAGGGTTGATATTTAAGAAATCTGTGACCAAGCTGGAACTTGCTCTTACAAGACCATAAATAAAACAAAATGAAAGTACCCTTACACAAAGGCCAACATTAATACTTTAAAAATTAAGAATCAAACACATGAAAATGACATGTTGTCTCACACATGTACACATCACAACAGTGAGCAGCAAACATCTTTTCACCTAATTTTCTTTCTGAATAAGATTTGTTGTGATACCCGCCTGTGAAAACTATTCACTACTAACCACAGAATGATTGAGGTTGGAAGGAACCTCTGGGTCCATCTGTTCCAATCCCCTACTTAAGCAGGGTCACCCAGGGTTGCTCAGGTTCACATTCAGACAACTTTCTAAGATCTCTGAGACAGGAGACTCCACAAGCTCCCTGGATAGCCTGTGCCAGTTTTTAGTCACTTGCATAGCAAAGAAGTGATTTGTGATGTTCAGAGGAAGCCCCTCGCTTTCCAGTTTGTGCCCATTGCCTCTTCTCCTGACAAAGGACCCCACTGTGCCTGGGTCTGTCCCCTTCACATATTTATAGACTTGGATAAGATCTCCTCCTATGCCTCCTCTCATACTTACTAGTTACAACACTGTCTTTATAGGAGAGATGCCCTGTTCCCTTCATCACCTTAACCACCCTCTGCTGGACTTTTCCTAGCAAGCCCATTATCTTTCTTGTTCTGAGGAGTCCAGAACAGAATGCAGTACTCTACGTGTATCCTCACTAATGCTGAGGCATGTACCCAGTGATACTTGGCCTAATGCAGCCGAGAATATAGCTAGCCTTCTTGACAGCAAGGGGACATCACTGACTTGATGTTCCCATCTCTGGATGGGAACATCCAACTTGAAGCCCACCAGGATGCCTAGATCCTTTTCTGCAGAGCTGCTTTCCAGACAGGTGATCCCCAGCACATACTGGTGCCTGGGAATGTTCCTCTCCTGTATTTCTTCTTGAAGTGCTCTATCTGTATAAACAGCAATGCATGTTGACTAGCATATAATATATGTCAGTAACTTAAGAAATTCAGCCACGCTCCAAAACTACAAACTAATTCTGGTTTTAAGAAAAGGGTAGGAGAAAGCATAGAAGGCAAAATTAGCTTTCACTATTTGGCAAATCTATAACTATAAAACAATAATTTATCTCTTTCTAGCCCTCTGTCTTCACTGTTAGTTAAGTATCTACACATTTATACCTTATTTCCCCAAGTGTTTTTATTTGTGGTTTGATGGTATAGCAGTAGAGGTTGAACCTTCCCAATGTTCCATTTACAGTCAATTATTACTTATATATCACTAATTATTTATACCAGAGATCTAAGAAGCCAACTATCTTTACTGACAATTTTATACAGAACTAAAAGCTTTTTACATTTAACCAATAACTAAATATTGCTGCAACTTTTCGGAGAGTTAAGATGATTCAGACTAAAGGATTAAGGTTAAAAGCTTATAAATAGGGAGATTCTGAGGCTATCAATGTCTACAGTGGAAGCTGTGCTTGGAATAATTCTACGTAAGAATACAAGGAATCTACAGATAGTACATCAGCTGCGAGTTAGCAGTTAACTTCTCATATGCTTATTTATAAGGGTTTAAAAAATTTAAAAAGCGAGTTTTCTCAGGGGTGGAGGTTGAGGTTTATGTAGTCATATGAAAGATCAAAAATACTTCAGATCAGCAAGTGCACATCTAAGTCACCAGAAAAGTATACTGCCGTCTTTCAGCAACTAAGCCTGAAGACTGACAGGCTATCCTCATAACTTATGCTTCAAGTCAATTAGCAGATGTTTGTCTTATTAATGCCAGAATTTTAGGGTTCTAGCCAAACTAACAACTTGTTGGCAAATAAACTTGTTTACTCTGATACACATGCTTAGTGTTCATGGAAATAAAATACAGACGAATAGCACTATTCTTGTTTCAGATCAGCAAGACATTTGTCTTTACAATGAACTTACACAATTCTTTAAACATAAATCAAACCCAACCCTTCAGAGCCTTTGTTGATCCTTCTTGACTAAGCATGTTCTGTATATTTCCTAGATGATATGCTGACATAGACTGGTTTGAAATACTAGCATCACAATAGTAACTTTCTCTACAGAAAAATGTAGAACAGTCCCATAAGTACAAAGAAAACCTTTCAGTTTTTAGCATTTCCTAGCCAATTAGTATAATGCTAATTGTGAAAGCAAAATGCAAAAGAGAAGTCTGTAACAATTAAAACTCATGTCTGCAAGTGACACTAAACAAAAAAAAAAAAAAAAGAAACAGTGAAGAATGGAATGTCAGTTTTTTTTAAGTAGAGTGGGATGAAAGAGCTCACTATGCACATTAAAATATTCGTTACATTTTTAGTCCGATTATAAAGTAATATTACTTTTAAAGAATTCTAGTGTTTGGTTTTTTTCCTACAACAAACTACATATATTAATACTTATCTTGAACTTCAGTCTGAGGAATAAATAAGTGCACATACCTTTACAATGTACAGCAATAGCACCATTAGCATTTTCACAGATGTTCAGGAACCTCTGAACTATACTGTCACTTGGTGTGCTTCCATCTATGAAGAACAGGTCATAATGTTCAAAACCAGCATCAGTAAAGCGTTTTGCCTCATAAATTTTTTTGTTTAGTCTTATAATTGATGTGACATTATGTTTCCTGAAATAGGGAAAGTAGGCTTCAGGTGCATGAAGAGGATAACCTGTAAAAAAAAAAAAAAAAAAAAGTGCTGGAACAATCATTTTATGAGGATGAGACTCAATGGCCTGATAATAAAAATCCTTCCAAAAATCCTTTTAAAAGTGTAAGAAAATATTATTGTACTGAAGATGCTCTATAATACAGAAACAGGTTGATATTAAGAGTCCACAAAGTACTCCTGAAACTACTATACATTAAAAGAGAATCAGAAAAAAACAATTAGAGCACAGTATTTCTGAAGCACTATCATCTTTTTTAGCACGCAACCCTCTACTTCTAGAGATTTGAAGACATTAGAGAGCTAAGGATATAAATCAATTCAACGTTTCAGAAGTGCTGTTTCTCTGTAGAAAAGCTGTAGATCACAAGAATAAAACATGCTTTAAGAGGAAACACCATTTATGATGGAAATAGATTGGTGATCTACATTATAGACAAGAGCAACAGTCAAAGGTAAAGTTGTGCAAGACATATTTGTATTATACTTAGTTAACTTCTTCTTTACTTCCAAGTTGCCAAGTATGTTCTTTTCAACTTTTTCTTGATAAGCTTCCGATAAACATACTTTACTTTTTAAATATACTATACTTTAAGAAATTTTAGCTCCCAGATCATACAATTTTCTTTCAGATTCCTAAATAGTTTACAGTTACTTTCCTGCACATCAACTATACTCAAAAATTAAACTAGGTGATATCTGCACACATTTATGAATTTAACATTTTCAAATAAGTACGAGGGCTGTTCTGAAAATAAAGCCTCCTGTTATATTGGCCTGTGATGTCAGAGGCAGATGCTGATGGTACGGCAGAAGAGACTGAACCTTCACACCAATATTCTATTATACTTTGTTGCTGTGTGACACATGGCAGCAGAGGGACAAAACATTTATGGAAACGTTTATGAACATTTATGGAAATCAAACACTGGGTGTCAGCACAGTGAAGTGGTGGTTGATGTGTTTCATTAGAGGTGACAATGGGCCACCTCCAGCGGTGCAGATTTTGACAAGCACAGTGTGCAGTCTCCTGTTCATCTGTAGGGAAAAAGCATAGCTAATGGTGATGATTCGTGTTGAAAAATGTTTTGTGGCTGACAGTTATGTAGCATCATTGTGCTCTTTGTATCTGTTGCAGTTTCCATGGAAATAACTAGAAGGCATTACTTTTCTGAGCAACCTACATAGATTGAATCTGCAGGTGAAATTAGGGCATTAATTCTCCCACTCTACAACTCTATTACTTGATCCAACTACCTCCTTGAATAAACAGGTTTCTGGGACATCCTGTGGGACATTTCTACAAGTCATATATACATATCATTGAATGATTTGGCTTGGAAAGGAGCTTAAGGATCATCAAGTTCTCTGCCACATGCTGGGCTGCCAGCCTCTAGATCAAGTACTGCATCAAATTGCTCCAGGCTCCATCCAATCTGGCAGTAACGAGTAAAAACTTAGCTTTGGAATGTGTACTTACACTCATAACTGCATTTTAAGCACTACCGATAATTTAATCATAACTAAGTTTAAGATATACATGTTAAAAATAAAACACATTTTCTAAATTCTGTGGAACAATTTAGAAAATTTTTGAAGATGTTCTGTAACAGTGACCAGAGGAAAGAAACAAACCAACTAATGCATTTTCTAGATTTTGATTAAATCTTCAGTGGACAAATTGTGCAATCAGCAGCATTCCATTCATAAAGGAAACACAAGAGAGCAGAAGAGGCAGCTATTCAGAAAATATGCTAATAGAAATAAAAGAGCACAGCACAAGGAATGAGGTGAAATCACATCAGATTTTCCTTTGAACTGGAACAAATCCCTACTTCGTCTGTCAAGTTTCTCTTTCATATTCCATTAGAATTATATATATTCTTCCCTTTATCCCACGTACAAAAGATAACCTTTTTGAAGTCATTCCTGGCCTTTATTACAAAACCTTCAATACACGCTCCCTTACTTTACGGAGCCCACCAGAAGAAAGGGAAGGGACCCGAGTTTCTCAAGCACTTTTGTCACTCTAAGGAAATACTGTCAGAAGACACCTGGGGAGTTGAGTTCTGTGTACATAAAATTTTCATTGCACAATTATTTCTGCAGAAGACAGTTAATCCATAAACCTCTATGATCTTTTGCTCATTTGCTATTAGTGTTTAACATGCTAAAAAAAAATAATCAAAGAGTAGCACCAAAATACACACATTAAAATCCCGAATCATACCATTTTCAAATTTGCTCTTTGGGTGTGGTCCACTAAATGCCAGAAATTTTCCTGGAATAATCCAGTTGAAATCACCATTTTCTACTCGCTAGAAAATTACAAGAGAAAGAAAAAAAAAAAAAAGCATTTTAATAACTATACAAACAAGGTTGAAAAAGGTTTTGTTTGTTTGTTTTTATAATAAGGCATTCTTGACGCATTGAAGAACTTCAGCTTACATATGACTAACATACCAGGAGATGTTTTTCAAAAACCTCTTAATAAAACAAAGCCACAACAAACTCTATTGAAGTTTTCAGGTAAAACAGAAAGGTTCTATATCTAAGATATTTCTCTCATAGAAGGTTCAGGGTTTGAAGACACCAACTTATAACAACACTGGCAAATATGTATGTTTTAATCAAAGAATTTGGAAAAATTCTTCCCTGTAAGACACTAGCAAGTGGGCACTAAAAACACAATTCAAGGACAACAAATTAAGAGCATAATTAGCCTGCAAAAACAATTATCCTTTCTTTGTACATACTGAAATTTACACTTTGTTGTAGTTCTGATGAGTTAGTAATCATAGAAGGAATGGATAAAAACATAAGACAAAAAAAAAAAAAAAAAAATCAAAATCAGGTTTCATATCTCTTTGTAACAGCAGTGCTCACTTTCCAATGGCAAGTTCAGGAAAGTTTGGTAAATTCTTTTATTGCCCAAACTGGAAAATGCCTCTTCCCCCACCCTCTTTTAAAGAGAACAGTATTCATTCCTCATTTGGCCATACAATTATTCTCAGCATCACTTATAAGGACATGGCACTCAGTTAACTGCCTTACAAAGCTCATGTTTTTAGTTCTCAGCTCATCAAAACATTTTAATGAGTGAAAGATTCCAGTAATTGGACATCACTGTAACCAATTCAACAACTGCATGCTTAGCTAACCCCATTAGGCTTGCTCCAAATGTCCTCACACAGTGAAAACTCCCGTAAGATAACAAGCTTGCATAAAGACAAGAGAACTTTGTGCCAAGTCAGTACTGCACCCCGCAGGAAGTGAATTTGTATTTCAGACTGCAATCTCAATACTGTAGCCCTCTACTCTCTTTAATAAGTTCTGAAAATAAATCTGAATTATTTTTATAGTTGCATTTATGTCTTAAATCATTCTTCAAAGAATACACTTCTGTGGAGAATTTAAATCTTAACAACTCTGAACTACATATGTATTCAGCACTATATACAAATATTACTATAGAAAATTGTAAACTTAATTATTTTTCCATCAAGACCAACAGAAGAGGAATTAGCTGTCTTGATAATGTAGTAAAACAGAAGAACTTTAGAGCTCATCCTTTAAAGAAATGAAATTTCCTTTAGCCTGTTCCCTTTAAGTCTTATGCAACTTTTCTCCACACAACTACATTTGAAGTGTTAACAGCAAATATATGGAGTATTTAAGTTTTTAGGAATTCAGCACAGTATACATCTAAACATACAAAGCTGACCATCAGACTGCCACATGTAAAGCAGCATAAGACATACAAATAATAGGCCAAAAAAATAAAGGACTCCAAGTTCTCACTTGGAACTCAGACAACGAGCAGGATTCATTCACACATACGTACAGTTCAGAGCAATATAAAATGATGTTAAGCATTGAATAAAATAGGACAGCTTTGTATACAGCTTTAGTCAACTGTTTTGCTGTTTGATTTTTATTTTGTGCAACTCAACATATACCATAGATACACACACAAGAACATGTATATACACACATACAATCCTAAGAGTTTCCACACATTTATTCCTTTTATAACAAACACTTCGTTGTTATACACAGATCCAGCAAGAAGCAGCAATTTCATACTTTGTTTTAGCTACTACTTCATTCAATCTAATTAGTTCAGCAAAGGCCATACTAATTTCTCAGTCAACAGGGAACACTGCAGTATATAGAAATCCTTCTACAGATAACCTAAGCTTTGTGAATAGCTTCATAATAAAAGGCACCCATTGCATTTGCCAACTACAGCATACATGCATGTTGTAAACTGAGTCTTCCCACCATTCAGTCCTCTCCTGGTTTTACCCTATCGCCTTAGTGCTTATGAAATATTTCCTATAGCTTATACCTACACGTACTAAACATCTATGTACAATAAGTTCACAATGAACTCTAAAAAGAGAGCTTAATACACACTCTAATGCTCAGTTCATCTTTAGCTTATACATCTTTCCCACTAACCAGTGCAACAGCAAGAACTTCAGGCAAATCCAAAAGTGAATTCTGGTATAACCACATCGCAGTCACTGACTCCCTTAAAAATACTCTCCCTTCTTTTGAAGTGTGGCAAATAAGAGACAAAAGACCATCCAAGTACTCTGGACCAAATGAATACACACTTTGAGCCTCAGATTTCTGGCTTGTAGGTATATTGTAGGGTATATTTCAAATGTTCTCTACAGCAACATTGCTTGAAAAGCACTACTGAAGACAGAGGTAGAAAGAGCTCAACCAGTTATGTTTGCATAAGTTAAGGAACAAAGGCCTAGCAGCACCCAGAGTGGCATTCTTCACTTGTGAGACAGGTGGCAGAATAATCAATGTTATATTAGCATTTCACAACTTCACTAGGTAAATATTTTGGATGTGTTCTAATTAATCTACTCCTATCTAATGAAAAAAAGCTCAGGATGTGCTTCATCTATACGGCTATAAAAGAAGTGTAACATGTGGAATTTGCAGCATCTCAAGAAGCTGCCTACAGTGTTTCAGTGCATCACATTGTAATGATACCCATCTTCCACATTGTTCACAGACAGAACCGAGTTTCAGTATCTGCCAATATTAAGGCCTCCATTGGATATCTAACCAACAGAGGAATGGTGTGGTTTCTCATACTTACCAAACACACAAAGACTATGATTTACTTGAATAAAAGTGTTTTTGCAATACATTTTAAAGCTCTGAGGTACTACGTATTCTAAATTATTTTAGGCAAATCAGACACATTAAAAGTACAAACCTCATAGTGTTCATATTCATCCACATCAAAAGTCTTAAAGTCAAAAAATCCATGCTGTAAGGCCTAAAAGGCAACAAGGTGTCAGTTCATTTTAAAATATGGTTTATTTTACATTTTACAGTTCTGTTCTTGAGAATCAAAATGAAATTACTAAACATTTGTGCTTTTGGCTTGCTGAAGTCTTTACATTAAGACGACATTAAATTTTGCACATACCAACAACACAGACAACAAAAAAAATGTAACAATGTCCAGAAACAGCAGTTTCATCATTTCTCCTTCAAAGACATTATGATGAACATACATTTGTTGCACATCACTAAAATCTTTGAGTCTTTCCATCTGACTACATGTTTTTCCTGGAAGGCACCTGACAAATTAAGAAGCAATTCCCTTTCTGCCATATTCTCATTCAATAATTTCTAGACTGAGTATGTTTTTCAGCATTTTGGACATATCAAAAAATAAAACATTGAGTTTTTTTGTTTGTTTGCTTTTAAGTTTAATGTTGTACTCTGATTTATCACTATAATACCCAGAAATAAAGCTTTACAGATAGCAGTAATAAGTATAAGCTGAACCTTGTGATTTGTTGATATCAGTTTTCCCCAACATATTCCACTGATTGAATGAAGTTAACAAGATTATACTTACAAGATCTATTAATAGGGTTGAAATAAATTGCTTAGTATTTGATTACTATTATTTTGTTTACTATTATTTAGCATTTACTTTACTATTAGTAACTATGTCAGTTTTATACCAGCAATTTGTGTATAATGCCATATTAAAGCAATTTTAGGAACTCAAAGGAGTTCATAGCACAAGCTTCTTTCAAAGAATAGTTGGAATACATTTCAGAGGCTTGTATCTATATGGAATCTAACACATTCTGAAAAGTACAGATATTGCACAACATTCTAGGATTAAGGTGATTTAAAAACATACCACATTATTGTTTAGCATATTTGTCACTATTTGCTAAATTTAAGGACCTGTTTCTTTTTGTTAAGGCAAAAACAAAATAGCTTCTCTAACACACAATTCAGTCTTATGTTTGGATCTCTCATGATACCTAAGATACTGAGAGGTTTCTTCAAATAGCAGATTATAAAATTGTTATTTCATTTAAGCATGGCTGGATGGCTGCACCCCAGAATAAGTAAACCCCTTGAATTACATACATCCATATACACATATATATATATATATATATATATACACACACACACACACATGTATGGTATATCTGAATAATGAAATTTACCCAGTTAGATTAAAATTTAGTTTAGACTGAGCTGTACAGTTTCTGCTCCAAATGTTTTTACTTTTGTAGATGAACTGGACAAAGATTCAATAATAAATTTCATGGAGACAAAAGATGGAAAATTGATTCTCAAAGTCCTCTTGACATGTTTGTTGCAGATATATTATACTGACTGCTCCTGAATGCTTCACAGAGCATCAGGATCTGTACAATGCCACACAAATTAGAGTCTTACTGCTAACTGACAGCTCCTTTCCCACCCCCAGAGAACTAAAAATATTAAGCTTTATCTGTCCTTTTTTCAGTTTTTTAAGAGACACTTGTTTTGCCATTCTTTTAAGAATTACTAATAGCCTATAAAGTATCAGTACAGAACCATTTATATAAACTGTTCTTCTCACCAAGATCACTAGAAATTCAGGTGAACAGGAAGTGATCTTTGCTTACAGTATAAAGTATATAATGTAGCATAAGATTACCAAATGAAGTGTAAAATAATTTTTATTTTATTTTATTTTATTTTAAAGCAGCACTAGATTAATTTTCCCCAGGATCACAACCACAAACATAGCACAGGATCACAGAATGGCTGGGTTGGAAGGTACCTCAAGGATCATGAATCTCCAACCCCCTGCCACAGTCAGGGCCACCAACCCCCACATTTAATACCAGACGAGATTGCCCAGGGCCTCATCCCCTCATCTGGCCAATTTAAGTTATCAGTTAACAACTGATAAATTAGCAATTTCAATTATCCTTCTCTAACTTTGTTGGTAGGTTTCTAATATTTACATTGGGTGTCATACGTACTTAGAAACCATAGCAGAGGTTTAAAAAGCCAGTTGACTAGATTTTGAAAGCAACATGCTAAAATACCAAGAAGGTGCGTTAGTTCCCATTCTTTTTAAATGATTTTCAAAATACTGGCATCAAAAAAACAGAACCAAGTGAAGCCAAGTACCTGCAAAAAATGTATTAAAAGGTGCTCAGAATACCTATGTGTCCACAAGACTTCAGTTTAATCAATTTATGTTATTCTCTTTTACCAATGTTCATAAATAATTTAGCACACTAAGTCTGTAAATTCTATCCAGCTGGGACTGGAATTTTTGCACATCCTATTTAAGGTGAACTACAAAACCTACGAAAAGCCAGGCTAAGTAAAACATAACCCTCTGCATTTGTCACTACTCAGAGCTCTCAGTAATTCAGGCTTCATGAACAGATTTTCTAATGTATTTTAAGTGTACTTTGCTGTTTTTTTGTTTGTTGTTGTTCATTATTTTTTTTTTTAAGTCAATTTAAACCTGTTTTTCCAAGAAAAAAAGTGATTACCTTATTTATTCCCTGTAAACAGTCCAAGATGGTGAGATTGTAGGTGCAGTTCCCAAATGAAGCATCCCTATAAATTCAAACAAATTAATTTAATGTAAGTATCCTTTTAACAGCTCAGGAAGAGGTAGCACATAATAGAATATTATCAAGTTATTCAGTCCTCTTGGAGAACTCTCATGGAAGTTCCTAAAATACATTGCTTACCAGCTTCTCCATGCTGAAGCACGCCTCTATCAAGGATATAGCTCAGTGTGAGCACAGTTACGATACTGAAATTATTTTCAGTATGTGTTTACATGTCAGCTACCCACATGGCCTTGGACCAAATTATTTATGCTCTCCTCAAACAGGAAGCTTTGCTATTCTCTTTTAGTTGCACAAGGTCAGTAGCACACAAAGCAAAACTTGCTTTAAAAATTATTCAAGTCTTCCTCTGTAAAAAGAAAAGACAAGCTGACTACGAGCTTGGATTGCACTTCAGGGCTCTCATTTTGATGTGTGATTCCAAACACGATTATAAATTAATAAGACAGGAAATTGAAAGTTACTTGATATTGGGCCTGCCATTAGAAAAACAATTTCTCTTTAAAAAAAAAAAAAAAAAAGAACACTAAAAAGCAAAATATATTCGAGAAGGAAGAGACACCAACATAAAAACAAATGCTACCACTGAAAATAACAGCAACACTAATTGGAGAAATAAAAGAAGTACGTCTCAAGCTTTGCTTCCAATCAGTTTGCATTTTAACAAATTCTGCCTGGGCAGACTTCCAAATCAGTCACTGAATAAATACTTTACAGTTTTGCTCTGAACTACTTTATTGAGGATGTTAAGAAATGCAATTTATCAGAACAGTAAAAGTTCTGGATTTCAGACATAAATTTTTAATCCATAATTTATTCAAAATTTAATTCTTTCATTAGATACTTCCACTTTTGAGACTCTACTTGCTATAAGTAGCATGGAATTTATAGTATTGATATGGTCTTTTAATCTGAAAAGAGTTCTAACAGTAGAATACTGGTCACATATTACGAGCAAATAATAGAGAAGTCTCAAGCAAGTAAGGTTCATAGAAAATGCATATTTTAGGAAAATGAGAAGCTACAAGAACTACAGTTTCATATTACAGGCAGGCCACTCAAGAAAGTCTGCCAGGTTACTAGATTATTAACTGAAATAATTATCACAATGTTTTAGAACAGAAATTTTAACATGTCAGTAAATATTAAACATCCAAAACTAATGACAAGGTTTTTCAAGATACAAAGCTATAAAGTATTTTGACTGTATTGGATAAGCAGATTATATCACAACAGAAAGCAATAAGATTACAAGGCTATCTATTTTTCACAGAGAGAAGTTTTTTCTTTTTTGCACAAATTTTTCAGCAAAAAAAAAAAAAAAAAAAAAATCTGAGCAAAAAAAAATTATTCGGACAAAGTGGGAATATATACATGACAAAAATACTTAGAAGTTACTACAGTTTGATAAAAGGGACAGCAAACAAAAAACTAAGACAATGCAAACACAAAACTAAGTACTTAAAGAAATCTGAATAGAAGACAATTGTAACAGTGTCCAATATTCTGCCATTTTGCTACAGAGTTGAACAGCAACTTTTTAAAATATTCAATCTCCTTATCAACTTGATAACAATTCTGTGGAATAAATTGAAGTTTCAGTATTCTGACCTTAGTCAAAAAAAAGCTTATTTTGACCTAATACACTGAGCATTTCAAATAAACTCAGTGAAAATATATTTTTGTTTATAGGAAGTTGCCTAAGATATTTTAAGTCACTGTTTTTATTCCCTCTTTGTTTAAAGCAAAACAAAAACACATTTCCTTCCCCAATCACCTAAATAACTTCCTCCTCAAGCAGAGGAACTTGGCTGAGTTACTGAGTTTTTTCACTGGATCAGAAACAGAAGACATAAGCCATGCCAAAGCACTACAAATCTGTGTAAGTATTTAAAGAACAATTTGATCTTGTTTCCCAAACATTGCTAAATTAAAGAATTTACTGGGAAAAAAAAAATTGAGGTAGCAGAATAGCTACCTCAACTTCAGCATTCTTCGTGTAAACTATTCTTCCTTTTGCTTTCATATAAAAATTCAAGACTGTCACTAAAAATCATAGGATCACCAAGGTTGGAAAAGCTCTCTAAGATCATTCAGTCAACCATCCACCTATCACCAGTATTTCCCCACTAAACCATGTCTCTCAGTACAACATCTAAACGTTTCTTGAACATCTCCAGGGGCAGTGACTCCAGCTCTGTGGCAGCCTGTTCTCACACTTGATCACTCTTTCAGATTAAAGTTGCCTGGAGCGGTTGCAGCCAAAGTGCAGGAAATACTGGGCTCTATCAGAAATAGCAGTAGCCTTCACAGAAGTGAATATAACTATTCCCACACCACAGCAATCTGAGAAGCCAATTACATAGTACTGGAGCCACTATTATGCATTTCATTGAAGCATTTGTCACCATTGTTAAAGTTCCAGAATAATAATTAGTAATAATAATTTTAGCAGCATAAAATGCAATAAATTCTCAGTGATCCACCTTCTGTGCAACAGTAAAACCAGATACAAACACTACCAGAGTTATGAGAAAGAGTACTTTAAATAAAAAAATTCTACTAACTACAAAGAAATAGTGTTTTAGATGAAACTACAATCAACTGCACACATTCTTCCTACTTCAACTTGTTCTCCTTTGCTCACCATTCTGGGTAGCCTGGCCTAGTGGTTGGTTACCCTGCACATAACAGGAAGGTTGAAACTAGATGATCATTGTGGTTCTTTTCAACCCAGGTCATTTTATGATTCTATAAAAAACTAATGTGCAAAATTATTAAAGATGGATGCTGGAAGATGCTGGAACTACTTATGCATGTACAAAGACATTTTGAGAGTTTTACTGATGGAAACAGAGGAATTTGGATTTACAGTGCTATACCTTCTTAACTCTGAAGCATGTGTTAAAGAAAACAAGAAAAAAAAAGATTTCATTTCTGACCAAACAACAGAGAAGAGCAGACACAGACTTCTCCTGCACTGTATTACACTGTGGGAGCTCCAATTTCTGTGGCTGATTCTGTGTTTTGTTACAGTATTATTTTTTTTAAATGGCCAAATCTTGATTTTCTAACAGTGCTTTGCCAACTATTACCTGACAGTTCTATTTGGTTTCAAAATCAGAAATATTCATGTATTTCTCACATATAGATGTAGCATGAATCTGAGCTGGTATTATAGAGCTGCAAATCCCACATCCGATTTCCCAGTTACCAGAGCTGACCTCAATACTGCATAATGCTTTCTCTTTCATCAAATCTCCAAATGCCATCAATAAGAGAATAAATTGTTTTCTCAGAACTTGCAAATAAAGAAATGAATATCAAAAAAAAAAAAAAAAAGCAAAACTGAAGTTAAATTCATGCCATATCTAGAAATATAACTAAGTTAAAATGCCCGTTTTTCCCTTTTGTGTAGGAAGTCAGAGTAGATTGAAATGAAAATCTAAAACAGCTTTACAGTAGAAAGCTGATATTTATCATGGTTTAAAATGATGTTAGTGGTGTTTTCTTAAGCGGAAGCAAGAGGATAGAGAACAAAGTCTTCAATAGACTAGAGTATTAGCAAATCAGCCAAAAAAAAGATGAAAGATTCTCAAATACAGCCATGCCTAATCCTCCTGCGCTGTCTTTGGTTTTTCCATTAAAAATAAAAAAAATATTAAGCTTTCATACATCTTTAAGAGGAGTATGCTGACTTCTTCCCACCCATGAATGATATTCACTGACGCTGCCTTCAGATGAAAAACCCAGCTGAAGATCTAAACCGATTAAGGCTTTTTGAGGTCACTGAGCTCAATGAAAGTAGATCAATTTCCCAGTGATATTTTCATGTAAACATGCCTCAGAAAAACCTGACAGTCTTGCAGGGCTTCTACCTATTGAAAGCTGTCTGGCTTTTTTTTTTTTTTTTTTTTTTCCTCCAAATAGAAGACACTTGACATATCAAATTAACAAGCCTGTTAAATAATCTAGCTGTAACACTGAACCTCTGATCACTGCACACTGATAAAACTCTTACATTTGAGACTATGCCACAGATAAGCTGTACTATGTAAGTTATGCAACATCTAAGTGCCAGGCTGCAAAGTGTAAACTCAAAGTCAGTAAGACCTGAATTCCAATCATTAATAAGCCAAGTTATTTCCTCTCCAGATCTTAGAATAAGAGAGAAGACGGCACTTTTCATTTTACGTAAAAGTCATTTTAGCCCTTTTTCAAGACGCTACCTGTGTAGTACAAGCTTCCTCACTGCATAGATTGGTTTTTTTGCACAGAATAGTCTGAAGCCAAGCAGATATAGTACCTAATATGGCAGCTCAGATTCATACACTTCAAGTCTCTGTATCACGCTGTATTTTGTATTAGAGATGCCAGAAGTATCTTAGAACACAGCTGAAAATCATTTGATAAGTCTTGGAAAACCAAGAAAGAAATGTTATTTTTTTCCTATTCCCAGCTAACATTGATTGCCCCATTGCAGGCCCTCACAAAATCTACTTGTCCTTCTCCCAGCCCCAGTAATTCTTAAGCTCCTTATGTATTTATTCCAGCCTCTTCCTACAAATTTAATTCATAAATAACCCCAACTCCCACCCCATAACTTCCAGACTCCCTATTTCCTATCTAGCCTCCTATATTTTTAAAGTAAAGAAATCTATCTCCTCACTCCTTTTTTTCCTCACCTCCTGTACAGCTAAATTAGAAAGCTTTCTTTCCCAACATGATAAACTATACCACATAGGTAACAGAATCTTCTTAGGCTTTTACCCAGTGCCAAGACTTGACACAGTACAAAATGCCCTCAGAAAAACTTAAGTGCTTTCCAGCCTGACACCAAATAAGAAAAAATATTCAAGAAATCAAGATATTTATTTCTTCCAGCATATAGAAAAATTCCCCCCCAAACTTCAGAACTCCATATTCCTTTAGTAACAGAAAGGCCCTGCTTAAGACTACTTCCTTTCAATCCTCTCCTTTTCTGACCCCAGAGTAGCTAACTATTCTATTTTGGAACAGAATCTTGTGAATTTTGACTCTGGCTCTGCTGTGAATACTTGTTTGATACTTGCAATATTAATGATATATTAATACTACAATCATGCTAATTTTCTTTATGAAGTTAAATAATTATTTAACATAATTGCTTTGTAGTTCTTAACCAGTCTCACAAGAAATCAGAGTCAATTACTCTCACTGCTCTGAGCCAGTCAAGCAGAGACAGCACTTCTACTATATTACTTGCATCTTCATAAGGGATTGGTTGCAAGGTATAGGTAAGTAGACTTTTTCCTTGAAGACAAAAGGTTGCATGAAACTGTTCTGAAAGAAAAAGACGATTGCTCCTAAATTTTCTGTCTTATAATTTCAGGACTTGATAATGAAGATTCTTTTCTGTGTCAGTACCTTGTTTCGACATATCTTAATTTTTTCTTTGACAAAGGAAGAAGCAGAGAAGGAACATAAAGACATAGCAATTTACTATAATTTTGAACAATAAGTTTTTTAGAATAGATGAACAAAATAAAGCTGTTCTCAGGTAACACACATCCTACACTACTGAAAAAGTTTGGCTTCCTACATTATTAAGTTTTGCTTTTAAAGAAAGGTTTGAATAAATTAAGCTAAGATTCTGAAAAAGTTAGGTTGCATTAGTTATTAAAACTCTTATATGAAAAATACTGTTTGATTGTTATTAATCTCCTGCCTAAATCGAACAATTGAGACAGCACTATTTGATAGGAAAGGGAGAAGCAGTTCTCTAGACTCCATTTAAATGCTGCGTTGTAATCTCCAGAAGAAAAGGAAAAATTCTGGTGAAGTATTTCACTTGTTGCTCTGCTCCAGAGAGTATATAAAAATTATTAGAAATCATCTACTCATTGAAAACAAAGGCAAAGCAACTTAACTTGAACCTCAGTAGTTATTCTTTTACACTGAGAAAATGAAACAGGAGAAAAAAAATCTACATAAGTCCAGCAGGTTAGCTGCTAAGCAGTCGAGAAGATTAAAATTCTAAATAGTAAAGTTTAGATTCTAAAGCACAAACATGCTAACAAGTATTTTTTAAATCTGAAAGCTTGCAAAACTGGGAATATCACATAAAACTAAAGTAAGTCTAAACAGTTTATTTTTCCAGCAGCAAAGCAAATAATTCCGTCAGAAGTAAAGAAAATTCTGTGCATTACACATTCATTTCCATGTCAGACATGAAGCCATTTTCTAGGAAAGGAGAGGAATTTAGAAAAAAAAGCATATTTAGCAAATTCCAAAAACAAAATATAGGCCCATTTGTGATGCTCACATACCTAAATGGAATATACGGTGGATTAGATCCAGACAGAAGTGTCCTGTATGCTTCTTCTGGTGTTTTCTTCAAGTATATTACCTAAAGGGAGGGAGAAGAAGGGGTGAAGAGAGGAAAATAAATAAATGAGCCCTGAGCCTGAAGAGTCATTAACTATTTGCATGTTTCCCCCAAACCACTAAACTTTTTCAGAAAGTATTCCATACAGCTTAACAAGCAACTGCTGTGCTATCTGCAGGTCAAAAAAGCATACCCACATCATCTGAAAGCTTCAAAAATCAAGATATAGGAGAACTACTGTGAGCATCTGTTGTGTAATCTGCACTTTTTTTTTTTTTAAGTCTCACTCTGCCCCAACTGGGAGACTTTAAAACAGATGCACCATTGTATTAGGATGCAAAACAAGCATCTATACTAGAAGCTCTCTGCCCAAATTCAGATGATTCAAAACAAATATAGTAGTTGAAAAAGGAAACGTTTCCTCTGAGCTTTTGTAGGGAAATGTTTCCAACACAAGTGGTTCCAGATTCCCAATTGTCAAAACACCCCCAAGCGAACAAGATGTCAAACTCAGCAAGTGAACCGGTTACTATGAGACCAGCCTATAGTTAATGTAGCATACTAAAGCAAGGCTTGTTCTGATACCACTAAAAACTATTTGATTCACTGGTTCAACACCACAGTCAGCAATCGTAAGATGAAATCACCTCACTGCATTCCAAATGCAGTGTGAACAGTAAAATTGCTCATAAAATAAATCCAATTTGTAATACATACTAAGTGCATTATTTATAAGTAGATATCCAGTTTGGGGTGATATTGTATGCTGTATGCTGCAAATATGTTTTGAAAACTAAGTGACACAACTTGCCTACACATTTCTCTGCAACTCAGCTTATAGACAGCACCTACTTTCACTTTGCGCATTTAATTGTGGAATATAAGGCATTAATAATGATTTTCTTAACAAAAACATAGGTCCTGAAAGCTTTGATTTTCAACTTCTGACCTTGAGCACACAGAAACAGAAGTAAGCAGCAGCCATTCTCAGAATGCTTGCAATTTGTGTTATGTCTAGAGTTGTATCTCAAGTTAATAGAATTCTCAATATTCTGTAGGATGTTAAAAAGTTGCAAATGATTCCACAACTGAAAGGCCTTTGTACTTGCTTCCAAAGGAGGAAATACTACTTGAACAGTAGTGTAATACGCTTAGATTAAGAGAGAACAAGCTCTTACAGCTCCAGGTAGGACTCAGAAATGTAATTTATATTTTTTTAACCAGGGAAAAACACTCCTGCAAATGGCAGGCAAACGATGATGATATTAGTTCACCATTTCTCAATTTCATTTGACCTGATAAAACTTATAAACTTCAGAACTTGATGGCTTTTCTCTGGCATTACAGAAAGCTATCAGTACTAAAATAAGTAATCACAAGAAATACGACCAGCCCACTTGCTAGAAAAAGGAAAAAGAGCTCAGTGGATTTCTTTTTAGAGCTTGTCACAGTAAGTGTTGTGTTTCACCAGGACTACTCAAAAGGCAGATTTTGGTCCACTGATCAAGTTTTGATCTTAGAAGAACTGTAGCTGTAAGGGTACAGACTCTTCCACAGAGGCTTCAAAACTTTTCAGACAGTAGAGAACACAGTCAAATAGGGGTTCCTTGTCTTCCAATCAGAACAAAAAAAAAAAAACAACATAATGAAGACCTTAACATTACGGTAAGAGGCACACTCCACCTCTGTCCAACTCACCCATTTAACACATGAGAATACACACTATCCTTCATGATTTCTCCAAGAGTGATTTCTCTGCTGACAAGTGAGGAGTCAAGCAATCTCTGCAGTATAATTTAGTCAAACCTATTCCCTCTTGCCTCCATCCCTCTTCTCTCAGTTTCAAACAAAAGCTATTAAGGACGTGTTGAGTCAAACCAGGCAAGTTTAGTTTGAGTAAGCATGAAAGTACTTGTAACAGTATTTTAAAACTATTATTTTTTTTTAATAATTAACTTCTGTGGAAAACAATATTTAAAAAAAATAAAACAAACAAAAAACAAACAACCCTAAAACAAGCCTCCAAACATACTAAGAGATGAGCAAAACAATACTAACACTCTGTAGAATCTGATTGGACTTCGCAAAAGTCAGCATCACCCCCACGTCTGACAGCACACAACATTTTATGCACTAGTCCCAGCAATTTAGTAGTTCAGACTTCCTTCTGTGTAAGACCAGTGAAATCTTCCCTTTCTTCTATTCCTGAAAGACTTGAAGTATTTGTTCTCATTAATCTTAATTTTATGATGAAATTAATTATTGCAGAATTCTTATGAATGAGGACATTAATTTAGCAACTGGACGTGATTAATCAATGCACAGAAAGTCTGTTGTAGAAACCAAAATACAGAAGACTTATCTTTGTGATATGCAATTTACAAACAATAAAGTTACTGTGAACAAAATTTTAAGCTCTCTCAAACTTAAGACTATTCTAAAATATTTTAATAGCTATCTTTCAGTTCAACTTGTCTAAGAAACTGCTTAAAGAAACAGTCTAATTTGCATAATCAGCACTGGAAACCCATTCCTAGAACATGATCCACTATTTTCCAAGTTTCATTTTGCACTTAATATTTTAGCACCAGGACAAATAACACAAGCTTTCTCAATTGACTTTCACACATCCATAGAGTTCAAAGCTGTAAGACTTCCTGGCCTCAGAACCTCATGTAATCAAAACCAAGGCAAGCATAGAAGATCTTGAATTAAAGAGTGCATACATAAAATCAAATGATCAAATCACCAACTATACTTAAGTCCTTCACTGAAGGTATGACTAGATTATCAGAAATCTTCTTATTATATAATCCAAGAATGTACAACTACTGCATGTGACTGAACAATGCCCTTAGAGGTGAATTGCTCTGAAAGCGCAAATATCATTTCCCAAAGATGAAACAAATATACCTGGATTATAGAATTTAAACTTCTGTAGATAAAAACAACAACACAGCTATCATACAAATCAGATTTTAGATGGTTCATAAATAACTTTTTAGAATACAAATGTTATGAATTTATTGGCAGTATAATCAACTACTATAAAAGGATGTGAGCAAAATTTCGCTACACTGGCAAGTCTAGAAATACACACCAACAGATACAATTCTGGGTTGAAAATTTTATATAATATCAGATACCTTTGTGCAAACTGTTTTCCAATACTACATTAGATTGAGATTAATTGAAAAGTGACTCTGCTGCAAATAAATTGTTTATAGGTACTGGACTCTGTTTTTGCATTGACAGCACCATATTAGTAAAGAATTACTATAAATGCATTGTATCTTCTAATAATTAGAAGATAATAATTAGATCTTCTAACAATTAGAAGAGACGCAGAATACCTACTAGTCTGACAGTAGAGAAATGGTATCAAATGCACACATGGATTGCTTGCAGATGTCAGAAGTTATGAGATATAAGCAGCTTAACATATACTAAGCTGGCTTAAAAGTGCCTGCAGTCCTGGCACATTGGTTTACCTTGTTCTACACATAAGGCTCCCCTCTTATGTATGATAGGCCACCTGGTACCTTCTACGAGTGCATATGCAGTCACATCATGGTACAGATGCTATGTGCTCCTCATCACAATTTTCATTAGACTGATTTCTACCCCTTGCCAGTGTGCGTCCTTATCCTCTTAGCTGCTGAAAGAACAGTTCAAATTCAGACTACCAAGTATACCACTGCTCCAGATTTCATGTCTTATATACCATAAATATGGAATAGTCTTATTTAGCTGATGAGTTCCCAATTTGGAGACCTGTCTTATATCTTACATATCTCCTTACCTTTCTGTTCCTAAAGCTTGGCTTTGCAAGATCCATTAACAAACAGTAGCTCTCCTTGGGTCTAGCTAATGCTTATAAGGTCCTTTTAACCCATTATTTACAGACAACAGAAAATGCTAGTTCTAGCCATTCCAATTCTTCTAGGATGTACTGAGAGTTCAAGGTAGGATCAGACAAGAGCAAACCAGTGAAAGAAATTAGATGCTACAGTTTATACATGCCAAATGAGTGCTTTCCCTGTAGTTTTAAAATATAAACAATCATTCCATTCAGATTTTTTTTTTTTTTTAAATATATTTTCCTTCCCCTTCACCACAAGAGTGTTACCTGCCTTTGTCTGCCACTTAATTTTTATTCTTCTTTTTATGGAATTGTTCCATCAGATTTACTCCCAGGATTAAAAATATACTCCAAATATTTTTAAAATTTAACTTAAATCTATTTATTCCCTTATCTTTCAATTTAAATAGATCTTCTTCCTTGCATTTATACACTAGCCCCATGCTCACAGCAAAATGTTTTCATTGTTTCATTACAAGAATGTGCAACCTAAGGACTTTCAGTATAATCATATGCGTTTATTCAACTTTGCTTTCAGCAAGACCTCAGTCCTGAAAAAAATATACACACAGTTCACAGCCTGACTTAACAGACACCTCCACAAGTCAGCTGACCCTATGGATGCCAGCTCAGGGCCAGCAGCTTGCTAGTTCAAACAGTGTAAAGTGTCAAACCTTTTAAGTTTTCCACAAGTTTGTTTCAATTCTGGAAAGGAAAGCAGGAAGGTGAAAGTTCAAGTTTGAGCTCGACTGCTATGACAACACACAAGCAGCTGTGCAAATCTCAGCTTAGGATCATCAAGATTTGTGTGACATCATAGTAAGTAGGGATTGTGTACCTAAGATAGCCCTGTTTTGCTCATAGTCTGTAATATTACAGGGCTGAAATGCATCAGGTCCTCCATTATTATCAGCAGACAACAGAAAAAAAAAGAAAAAACAAAAAATAAGATGGGTCTGGTCTTACAACTTAAAGGCTTTAAGAGAAAGCTTTCTCCCACTCCAGCATGAATCTCACTGTAATCTTAAGAATTAATTGATCCTAAGCCTAGCAGTTTTAGAGTTTGTGGTTTGTATTTTTTGACATTCAAGGAAGTGGTGCTATGGGAAAAACATGTATGTCCCAGTGCCACTCCTTCTGCAAATAAAAAAAGATAAGCCTTGTCTAACACTTAAATAGCAGAATTTGAGCTTAGAGGAGAATTAAATGACAACCTGCCTGCCTACCTCCCTCAGGAGCCATCCCCTGGGACATTCATTTACACAAGAAATATTTCTTAAGGAAGGCTAAAAGTATCCAAGCAACAATCAGTACTTACAGCATATGCACCTATTAAAAAAGCTGCATTTGCTCGTTTCCGCTGGTCAAAACTGGTATAGAAAACTATCTTCTTTCTTGACAGACTGAAATACTGTTAAAAAGAAAAATAATTTTTAAATAATCACACAGTATATTTACTGAGAATACATTTTAAAAATTCCTTCAGAGGCTGTTTTTCCCAACACTGACATGTAAATGAGCTTCTTAAAGGAGCAAAAGTTACTGATACTACGGACAATCTTCTTACATTACAGATAAAAGTGCAGGGAAACATTTGCTGTTCCAGAGCAAATATATTAGTTTTGCTGTGCAAAAATACACTATAAAATGCAGTTCAATCAAAATAGTCATGATAAAATGCTTCTTTTCCTAATGTAAACATTTGAACAATAGCTTAGGGATATTGTTGAAAGGTACTGCAATTGTTAAACTCTCCCACTTGTTAAATGCCTTCAGTACCAAACTCTATGGAGAAAACCAACTTTTTTTCTCTGAGGAAAAACTCCAACAAAACAATCTTCCTCTATACTACCTGCATATGGGGTGACAGACAACATATTTTGAAAGCTTCAATAATAAGTTTATAAAAATGCTATGCAAGTGAAAAGCCTGGAAGAAACAAAAAACAACAGTTAAGCACAGAATAAAGTAGGAAGTCTTGCCATTTTTTTCGTAAGAAGAAAAGAAGCCTCTGTCAGAGTTCTGTGGACAAAACAGCCATTGAGAACAAGAGCAATGAGCACAAGAACAATAAGAACAAGCTGCAAATATTTAAAACTAAAGAGAAAACTGTCATTTAAAAATGGAAACTAGACAGTTTATTGCAATTTTAAAAAATTATTTTTTACTTCATGAATTTCTACTCTAAGTACATTTTGCAACATTATCACATGAGTTTTTCCAGGTAGATTTGTGGTACAGTAGCCATTTGAGGGAGACATCAACAGAAGTACCAGACTTTGCTCCTAAATATTTGAAAAGTATTTTCATTTTTAAAAATTGTGCAACATTTTTACATAGGCTGCACTGAAAGTAATGCCTTCTATTTATTTCAAAGACGAAAAGCACAACCACACTATTTGATAGAGCAGATTCTCAGATACAAAAATGTTATTTTCCAACATAGCCTCCACCACTAGCCAATTCACACAGATGAGCTGATTGAGACACTCTTAATTTTATGGTGTTACAGTAGTGTAAAATGTATCAGAATATTGTTTGGAAAGTTCACCCTTACCACCATACCACTGACATCCTCCCCTGGTGTTGTGGGTCGGCACAATGAAATAAAAAAGCATTACTTTCACAGCAGCCCTTATAAGAACTGCCTCTATTCCAATGCTACTATTACTCAAGTTCAGTACTCAAACTCCTACTTGACACTTCAAGTTTACTTTCTTCTCCTGCCCTTGGCACAGGTGACACTTGGTGGCAGGAGATAAAGTAACCGTAGGATTGCGTTTTGGTTACTTAATTCATACCACTGCATCTCACTTACAGAGAAAGCTCACCTTATTCTTGTAGCAAATTTTAGGAACTGGTTTAACTGCAGAATCAAATTTGGCACCTCCAAAGCACCAGGAGAAAACTGCTGTACGCATCACAGTGAGGTACTTACTCCCACCCCCCAGAGAAATAGTATCTTCCAGAGCAAATCTAACAGTACATTCCAAGCTGGTCTCATTACCCACAGTTCCATAGGCACATAGGCTGTGAGAACCAATGCAAGTGAGTGCATCTAAATAAGATTACAGTTCCCAAGAGGGATGATCACTATTGATTAGAAGAGGTCATATCTTGAGATCAATGGCAACATCTCTCTGTGTATACACAAACATACAGAGCATAAGTAGTTATTTAATTAGCAAAGCTTTCAATTTTTATTAAAACTTGTCAAAATTTTAAGATTCCTCCTTTCTTCCCCCTCTTCAGTTTCTTAATTTTAGTGCTCTCTAACTGCAGTTCCACCCATGACGTGTGGGTGGGATCACATCACAGTAGTTATGCAACAGTGACAGAACTTCAATTATAACTTGTTGACTATTACTTATTTTAAAGCAAAGTTCCTTGTAAAGGTTTATGGTTCACCTGAAATACTACTTGAAAGTGCAAAAAGTATGTGCCAGTTGCTAGCTGTCCAGAAGTAAGTTCTAGTCAAAAAGACCATCTTTCATGCTTTATGTTACAGAGCAGACTTCTTTGTCATACAGATATATAAAGTCAGTCCAGTTCTGAAATATTTTTGTATTAGAAAGATGCAAGTGATAGCCCACCTTAAATGCTCCCAAAACATAAAAATGAAAGTAGAGCATTATCACTGCTTCAATTTCAAAAATGCAAGGGTTTAATCTTTATGATTAAAATCTTTATGATTACACAACTGTGCGATTTGCCTTTTTAAAATCCTGAATAAAACTTCAACACAGAATTGAAAAGCAATGCAAAATTAATGGTCTACAGCATAGCAAGCAAAGCAAAAGTTGATCAGGATATGATCAGTCACTATTTGTTTACCCACAAGTTACAGAAAAATCAAACTTCACGGCAGATGTTGCTGAACTGACCTGCTGCATGCATGAATATTTCTATTACTGCTAACACAAATTCTTCACTCAGTTACACTTTAAGTATCAGTATTAACCTATCCAAACAATAAAAGGAATATACTGACATTTTGACCAAATTTCATGAGCAAAGTCTAGTTCTGGCAAGATTCAATGACAAGTGTTAAGGACATTTGTTTTTAACGTCTTGTTTTATGGAATTTGTTTTCTTTTGTGTGCTTGTTTGTTTTGTTTTTAAGTAAAGAAATGCCTCCAGAGCTCCACCTGAGATTTTGTTTCCTTCAATACTGCACAACTCAGAAGCATCAAAAAATGTTTCAAGAGACTCTCACAGTGAGATTTCCAGAAGATAGCTACAGTTTAGGATGATACAGTAATACTGTTGCAACTCCCCCCTTATTTTTTCAGAAGTTAAAACAGATGCACTGTGAAATACAAAATACATTTTTCTTTACCGATAAGAAAATTTCAGTGGAACACAAAATGTAATAAAGCAGTACCTGTCAAGATATTTCTCAGAGGAACTCACTCAGAGACAGTCTTTTTTAATAAAAGCAGAAGCTATAAGAGAAGTGCAGCAGGTTTTGTTTCAGTCAATAAAACTAATTCACTGATGTATGAAAGGATTCCAGAATATTTTTTTCCATTTTAAAATTATTTAAAATTTTATAATACATTAATTTTTGCTTCTTGAAGATCCCAAGAGAGATTTATTTACATGGCTCTACAAGAAATTGCTGTAATGTGTTTAATAAAGTCAGATCCATGCAAATACTGCTTAAATAAATGCACACAAATGCACTCACCTAAGTAACAGTGAATGCAATGCTTGCAGCCTAGCCATGGAAAACAGCGTTTTAAAAAAAAAGTACATGCAATCTGCCTCAAACTTAAGCTGTCCTAAAGCAGATGTCCTAAGATGTCCTAAAGCAATTACCACAACACGGCACAGAAGAAATGTTAGTCCCACTGTTCATAGGCCTGCTAGAATCTTCCCTTACTGCTTTTCCATCTTCAGCAAATCAAATCATTTCCCTAGGAATTTCTCCCTCTCTGATTATGCCTGCTTCTTAATTTATTTGAGTCTGCATAAGTTTACACGTGCTCAGATGACAGTGCTTTAAATCATTTTATGAAATCAGACTTGTTTTTAAGTGGAAGAAAAAAATTCATCTCATAACTTAATTGGAGGAAAAAAAAAAAAAAAAAAGCTTGACTAAGCAATTACAAACAGAATTCAGAGAACAAGTAGGAAGACAGCATTGCCAAGCATTTTTTCTTGCTGTCATCTCAGTCTATATCTCCTTAGCAAAGCATTACAAACATAACAAGGCCAGTTAGGTTTTCAGTGCTTTACCTTCAACAACAAAAAATAATATTTGAATAAACTCTTCAGTTCTTTAGAACAGAATTATTCACTGCTTTTACAGTCAGTCAGCACAAAGATACAACAGTTCAAAGTGGCAGTCTGTCAAGTAGAACATTTTAAAATCAGGCATTTCTTCCTCCTCTCTGCCTGCCCAAAAAGGAGAGGTGGGAGCAGAACTGCCTCCTTCGTGCTCCATCCCTCTACCAAAACAGAAATAGATGCAGTTGAAAGAACTGAAGAGGAAACTTGGGTTTTGCTTGTATTTTAAATGAGATCCTATAGTCACATTTCTCCTGCCTCCGTTTATATAAATTTTAAACAAAAACCTTCCAAATCATTAAATTCCTTTTGCAATATCATATCCACACAGATTATCACACCTAGCACATACTTTCTGTTCCACACTTCTTGCAAAGGCTTTTCATTAGGAAAGCACACTCAGTGCATTTGACTAGTGAAGCTGAGCAGAAGTCTTTAGCAGTTACATGTACACATCAGATGCATGCTTCAGTCTGCGGATGAAGCCCTTTCAAGCCCGCTTACCCACTGCAGATAGTATCTAAATTAAGACAGACTGTAGTACATATTTTATGTATTAGGGAAGCAAGGTTTACATTAGCAGCTACTGGCCTATCACAAAGGTAGTTCTAATCAGGCAAACTGTAATCTATTCATGCCAGAGTTTCTACACTACTCAGATGGCATTCCAGGCTCTAGTTGTTTGAATTCAGATATTATTTTCCACTGGTTGCACTATCAGATTACCCTTCTCTACTGTGCATCAGTAGTTTAAAATTAACTTGTTTGGAATTAACCTCTGGGATCAGTAACGGACAGCACCTCATTTCCAGCTGATCTGCTTGAGATTTCTCTGTCCTGACAATCTGTACTCCACACCTAGCACTGAGTTTGCTTTTTTTTTTTTTTTTTAAACTTGTCAAAAAATACGAAAGTTAAATTAAAATATCATTAACTACCGTTAAGCCAATCTGCAAATGTCAAAGTTAATCATTCAGTTTTAATTTGGCTCCCTTCTGTATTTTTCTGCTTTAGAATATATGGTCTTTAGAATATCATGATTACACACCATCTACAATTAGCAACTTGCCTTGCTTTGGGCAGATGATGCAACAATAAAGGCGTTACATTTTAATACTGAATCATTAAAAATAGTTCTAGTTTAAGTAGAAAGCACAAAGTTACACTTCAAGTGTGATAAATAAAAACGTGTCCCAAACTGATTTCAGTCTGTTTGAAGCTAGAGAAACAGAACTGATGGAACTTATCTCTACAGACCAGGGATATGCCGTATCAGATAGCATCACGTACAGTAACAAAATCAAGTAGAAGCCATTCAAAAGTAGCTGCTGCTTAGAGACTGTTTGGGCAATGGTTTGCTGCTAACACCACCTGTTCTGTTTTCCCTGTCTTTCCTTTTTATTGCCCTACTTAAACTGTCTTCAATTCAACCCACAAGTCTTTATTGGTTCTGCTCTTCTGGTCCTCTCTCCTGTCCCACTGGGGCTGGAGTAGCAGTCAGCAAGCAGCTGCTGTTTGCTTAGTTGCTGGCCAAGGTCAATCTACACCAGGCTTGTGGCTTTATCACAGGACAGTAGTGTTAGAACAAAACTCAGCTGGCGTGATCTTCCAAAATAAATGCTGCATTCCCATATTCACAACTACTTCATAAAGTAAGGACAAACATTTTGCAGACAAAAGAAAAGCTACTATGGTACCTGAAGATACATTTTCTACATCTATAGCAGAGCAACTCATAATTGCCTTAAATCTACAACACTTGGGTGGAAGCAGGAGAACAAGTTTTCTGCAAACTAACTGAATGCAGTGGCAATTCTGCAAGTACTACAGAAAGAAAGAACCATTTTTATACGTGTAAAAGACTTTTCTAGAACACCATTATTACAAGCAACATTTTATTTAAATGAAAGACTCCAAAGTTTTAACTTCTTGACTGAGTGAGATTTAAATATTGTGGTTTTGGAGATCACACTGTTCTTTACATAGAAGACGAGGGTGAGCAGAGATGTTTGCCTTAAAATCTGTTGTGGTTTGTTGTGGGGTTTTGTTTGTTTGTTTTTGAGGGGGGTGGTTTTTTTTTTTTTTAAGCTATCCATACCAACAGACCAACTTACCTAGCTGCAAACCCATGAAACATCCACACAGCCATACTAAGTCTTGTTATTTACTACTTCATTACAAATCTAAGAATATAAAAGTGAAATCATCCTTTCCTCACCTCACCTGCTGAGCAACGATGGCACATCCCTTTTTTTTCGTCCTTCAGAGGCAAAAGAATTCAGAGCAAAGAAGAGCCTTAAGCTTAGTAGCAATTATCTATAGATAGTCAGTACTTAATAATTACTTTCAAAATGGAAAACAAGTTTTACCTCAGTTTGAAAGCACAATAATATAGGAACAATATTTTTAAAGCAAAGCTTACCTTTAATTTCTTATTAAGTTTACAGCAATATCTGTATAACATCGCCAAATTTAAAGGTCCAAAATCTGCATAGAAACTTTGTGAAAAGAAAACAAATATGTTATTTATGCAAAATAGCTAAGCAAATTTCAACATGCACAGTGTTGATAGCTAAAACTGCACAACAGTAAACTCTGGGGAATACTGAGTAAACAATATATACAGTGCACCACATAAACCCTTTATTTCAGCTACTGCAGTAACTGAAATTTAAGCCCACTTCTTTTTTTAACCTCATCTTCCATTATTCCAGAAGCTACATACTATATACACACACACCTTACATGGAATCCTTTACTGCTTTTCCTTTTGTCCCACTCAGTCCTCTTGTTTCTACTAAAAGTTCTTAGGAGTTCTTCATTTACTCTGTGTTTTCTCATTGTTCCCATCCCTCTCTTCTAGATTTTCCTTAAACATTCACATGCCCCTTAATGCAGCAACTGCTGCCCATTGGATGAGAGAGCAGCAATAGTCCATACAGGAAAATCGATGTACAAAATACAAGTTTCCAGCAGGGATTCACAGTGCGCTCTCGCTCTCTCTCTCTCACTAAACGTAAGGCTTATTACTCCATTATTATCCCTTTCAAACATATGTTCTCTCAAACAAACAAACAAAAAAAGCCCATTAAAAAAAAAAACAACAAAGCCCAGTGAAGAAGAGTGAATTATATTGGCCCAATTGCTGTCCAGAACAAGCACTCTGCCTGCCACACTGAGGAAATGTCAATATCATCTTCTTTACAACATCACATAATAGCACAAATGTGTTCACCCCGGCAGCACAAAACATTTGTTATAATGTTGAAATACAGTAGCTCATTAGCTGGGTCAAAGACTAAGCTGTCCAACTCCTAGGATGGTATCTCTAAGATCACAGAACATAACTAACACAAATGAAAATTTTTGTGGCAATAATGCAGTCACTAACTTCTAGAATTTCTCAGATACGGTCAACAGTTACAGCTATCTTAAAATCAAAACTCCCCATTACGTTCTTAATAGAGATTAAATGAAAAAAGAACAAGCATGCTTTACAAAGCAATAATTAAAAACGTTAGCTCTACAGACACTGTAGTGAACATGGCTTCCAGGTTAGGTAGCAGGTTCTCACTCTGCAGCACTAACATCTTAAAACAATGTTCCAGTATTATTTAGAGTATTAACTCACTTGTATGATGGAAAAATAGAACTTGGATTTTAAGATTCTTGAAAAAATATCATGGTGGGAAAAAAAATAATAGTGAAACATAACTGTTTCTAATACAGCTTTGATGAGCGTAATGATGTTACTGAACACACAGTTTGTCTAAAGCACAGAACTACAGCTGTGCTTTAGGTTTCCATTACTATCCATTTGCTAAAACTACAGCCATATGAACTCACATAACCACTTCTAATTTTCTGCACAATTGAACTCAAACAGAAGCACAGGAAAAGCAGATTAAAATGAGTTCACCAATCAATTTACCAATAATAGACAAATTATTTACTGTTTTGATGGATGTAAAGAAAAGATAGATTTATTTATTTAATCCAAGAAATAACAAGATATTTCTAAAAAATAAAGCTACTCAAGTTCTCTGATTTACTGTGATTTTCCATCATTTGCTACAATTAAGCACTCCATGCTTTTCTTAATACAGCCAAAAAAAAAAAAAAAAGTACCAATATTTAACATCCTGGTATTACTACTGCTTGGCTGATACTTTTCAAAATCCAAACACAGAAAGAACAGGCACTTTTAGTCAGTCGTGCACCACTATTACTGCCCATACATAGGCATGAAAAAAAAATATCAAAACCCACTGGCAACTCCTAATTCCTTTACACAACACCATGGGGCAGCATAAACAAGCCAAAACAAGCCATTGACTTCACTGATACAATGTTGTGATACATGCACTAATAATTTTAGCTTTTCCCACTATATATCTTCAAACTAAATTAAGCTTGAATGTTCCTTTTAAATGAAGCAAAGTGAAACAAGCATTTCAGAGTTCTCCAAATAGAGGAGTTCTCTGACAAATAACATAAGGCTCTGTACTGAAGTCAGTAAACTACAAAACTCATCAATTTATATCCTTAAAACTGAATGTCTGACACGCTTAAACAGAAGAGTTTAATCTTGTCCGTGCCGCTACTTTAAGAGTAACAGGCCGTTTTTGTCCTTGAATTCAATTTAATACCAAGCTGGTCAGCGGATTTTCTTCTTAAGAACAGAATTTTGAGAGCTATGTACAAGTAGAAGGTTGGAAATCAGAGGATGGAAATGAGCAATGAAGAGAAACAGCATACCGAGTCAGCCTCTCAATTAAGAGTTTGACCCAGCAAAGTTTAAGACAGAAACTTAAAACCACACACACACAGAAATGAAATCTGGTTACATAATATAGTCACCATTAACCAGTATTCATTCACTGACAATTCTTTCATAGGTAACAGATTTTCATTCTATCCAGACGTTCTTGTAAACGTTTGTACACCACATGGAATCAGCACATCTCTGAAACTTAAGCCAGTTAAGAGACAGTCATTTGCAACAGGGGTGGGAACCAGATATGAGGAACAGAATGCAAGTACGGTATTAATCGATGTTTAATCATATTTTGTTTTAATCAAGTACTTAGATGATAGCTAAAATTATTCTTCCCCCTCACCCCATGGAAGCTTGCTATCTTTATGCTTCTCCAGCTACACAGCAGCAAAACCCCCCAAATCCAGTATGTGAATATTTAAATATTGTGCTTCAGAAACACTGTCATAATGCCACCTGGGAGCAGAGGCATAGGTTTCTGTTAGAATCGACCCCTCAAACCACCCTTCTCATCAGCTCTCACAGCCTATCATTTCAGATATTCGCTGTTTTGTATCACAGAAATTTTCACCTACCTAGATAAGCCAGCCCCAGATCAGCTCATTAATTTACTCTTTCATGCAAGCACTTAATTCCAGGGAATTAACATGTTAAACAGATACAGTCTAGGACCACACAGTCTTCAGGACAGAAACTCAAGAAGTTCCTGACTGTAGTTCTGTGCAATGCCACATGAAGGCGCCATGAGTCAGATCAAGCCGTGGGCACCTCGTCGGAAGGAAGAGGGTAACTTTACCAAGTATTTGAATTCGGCTGACCCCAGCACAGCAGTAAATGATAAACGACTTCAATATCTGGAAGTAATGGATGGAGCCCAGTTACGACCAGTGAAGGGATACCATGTACAGGCAGTCTCTGAAATTAATAATGACTTCCGTATTAACTTCACAATCAACAAATTTATAGCTAGGGCACCACGTTATCTATCAAAAACAAACTGAACTACTTACACTTTGCCCCAGAAATCTGAAGCTGTACACAAAATTTCCCCCACAGATAGATGTACTAACTAAGTAGTTTTAAACTACCATTCCCTTATGAATTTTGTGATATAGCAACAGAAATATAGATGAGAAGATAAGACACTCCTATTTGAAGATTTATTTCAGGATTCTTCAGGGCAGATCAGTGTAAGTTTGGAACTGCTGCTACACTGAATATGAGGGTACGTACATATTCTGCATTCAGTAATAGGTATTTACAGCAGCTTGAATATGGTACAAACCCTAATTCTCATACTGGAAAACAAGATAGAACATACACAATCAGTTCTTACCATGCACAAATGCTCAGAGGAGATGATGTTACTTGCATGGCAGCTTTTTTGGTGTTTCAGTTAATAACTTTAAAACAAGAGCACAGTATAGCTATTGCAGTCTCTTCCTGGAGCACATATACAAGAATGGGAATGCAACTACTCTTCTCTACAAGAAGCTTGCTTTGTTGGAGACTAACAACTATATAAAAGCCTCTTTCCCACCAAACAGGAGTATCTCAAGTTGGCTGTTATTTGGGCCAAGAGTTTATCCATAACAACTGTAGAAAGCAGTTGAAATGCATTTTCCTAAATACAAGACTAAACTAATTTATAAACATGTTATAGAGATCCAGTTTCCTGCTTGGGTTACTATTAAAAATTAGCAGTAAGACTAAATTAGAATGAGAAAAAAAATATTCTCCACTTGCTTTTCTCTCCCCACTTCCTAGGCTGGATCACTAGAACACTCAGATGTCTGCCCCACGGGCTCTCAGTGCAGGTATTAGGCAATACAAGAACCAGCCACTGCAGAAGCTGCTACAGGCAAACAAATGGCTGCTACAGGCAAACAAACCATAAGCTGAATCGTCACAAATTTTCCAGATGAAAGACAGAAGTATCAATCCACATATTCACTACAACATAACTCTGGAGATCCTGAAATCTTACATATTTGGTTTTCCTTCTCCCACCCTTGCATCCCAAAGCATGTCCCACATTCCCACTTCCTATGAGTGCAAACAGGATGCCCAGCAGCATTAACTGCTGCCCTAGTCCCACCAATTCCTGCCACATACAAACTGCTGAGAGCTTTCTTATCTGGGCCAACACACAATCCCCAACACTTTTCACTACTCAGAGATTGCACAATTCTGAGTGTCAAAGATAGAGCAAACAGAACTCTAGAAGCAATATTGCTCCACTGCTTACATCTGGAGACAGAACAACACAGAAGTTACAGATTACACAAAACATCAGGTACTCATTCCATTTCCCCTCGGATGTTCCAAATCTCCAAGATCCCATTTATTCAAAATCCAAGAACAAGTTGCAGCTCCAAGTTATCTACACTTAAATAGCTACTCCAGATGCAAGCATTTTTCAAACAATACTTCTAGACATCAAGAGCAAAGTACCAGCAAAGATATTCTTCCATAGTGTTTGCCTGTACAAGAGTCTTAAGATGGTTAGAAACATACTTTCTATGGAAAATAAATCATCTTAACAGTGACCAACTTTCTTGTAAAAGGCTTTCTATTTCAAGCTAGATGTCTGTCCAGTAGGAAACTGGAGCCTAGAAAACAGATAATTCCAGTACACATTTACAAGAAATCCTCAATGCCTTTGTAATTTGCTTTCATCTTTTCCATATGAATCACAACACAGTTAATGTTGGAAGGCATTCCTAGAGGACACCTAGTGCACCCCCCTGCTCAAGCATGGATACTGAGGATCACATCCAGACAACTCTTGGAACATCTCCACTCAGGGAAGCTCCATCTGGACAACCTGTGCCTCATTGCCTACACAGTAAAAGTGCTTCCTGATGTTCACGCAGAATCTCCTATTCCAGTTTGTACACATTGTCTCCTGTTGGCGCTGGGTACAACCAAGGAGTCTGGCTCTGTCCTGTTTGCACCCTCTGGTAAAGTTTACTTACTTGAGACTTCTTTGGGCTAAACAATCCTAGCTCTCTCAGTCTCTATTCATAGCAAAGATGCTCAAGTCTCTCCATCAACTTGGTGAAGGCGGCACAAAAGTGCACATAAAATTTATTAAATCAATACTGGAGAGTACATCTCAAATGCTAAGGTGCAGAGCTTCAGGAGTTTCAAATAAAATTGTACCAGTAGCTCATATTCTAAGGAGAAGATGATACTCTCAGTTTCCAGACCTCCTGACTTCACTTGCAGTGAATTTAAAAGCAGTTATTTTAAGATGATAAAGGAAAAAGCTACAGTATTGTTATGGCCAATTTTTACAGAGGCCGTTAATAAAACTTATATTTATGAAGCTTCATTTCTCTATATATTTACATTCGTACTAATAAAAGCTGGAAGCTAGGAAGTTTCTTAGACATGATGTGGTTTTGTCACTGTTTTTGTGGACTTGAACTCGCTAAGTAATCTTGGTCATTTGATAGTGAAGTTCAACTCTCCAAAAACTGGAAGTGAACAAGGAACTCTCTGTTCTCTGTTTGCTCTAACATGGCTAAGGTTTTCGTTTCCTTTCAACTGATATAAGCCACAAAAGGATGGTGAGTTCAGGTTTCCTATGCAAGTACCATTTTATCGGATAACCATAGAAAAGCAGCATTTTACACTGATCAAATAAACAAACTAACCCTTACTCAAATAATCAGAAAGAGAAGCTGCATTGCATATGTGTATGCAAAGAAGAAAACATGTCCTACAAGTTAAAGTCCAAAGAACGCTCATTAAATGAAGACACAGTTTTGAATTTTATTGTATTTCTGCTTGAACTCAGAAATATTGCTAACACTAAAACTGCTGTGGAATGAGCAAGTAACATACTGTGGCTTGAAGGCTGCATTGTAAAACATAGGATGCACGGGGAATATCATACTATTTACTTCTGCTGCTGCTCACCAAATTTCAGATAAGATTTGCAAAAGCTGTTTATAAAAAAAAAGATGTGAAGCTACAAGTGACCAAGTAAAAACACAGTTTATGAGAATTGTCATTATTATTTACAAAAAAAGTGATACTCCCAGTTTTAACTAACTTTTAGTTTTGCTTGAAAAATTTACACAACAATAGAAAGGATGTTACAAACTGTTTTGATGAAAAGATGTGACAGTGAAGTTAACCAGTCAAGTGTAATATTCCCAACCCAGATCCGTTTACTGAAAGGTAAAGCATGAAAGACACTATTCTTAGAGAAGAAAAAGCTTCTTATTCTTGTCTAACTCACTAATTGAGATCTTGCCAAGGCAAGGCTTGTCCATTTGCCAAATGACAGTCCTCATCAAGCTGGATTATTTCTCATTAACTCAGTTTTCCTGAAGCAATCATTACCTGCAATACATTATTCTGCAAGACTATTCTCTTGCATGTAGTACTGCAGACTTACTCAGGAGGTACCTCAAAGACTTTCAGAGAAAGACTGACAACATCTTACAGAAACAAAACAACTGGGTGGGGAGGGGAAGCTGTAAGAAGTCAGAGTTGCAAAAATTCATTCTAAATTCAAACAGGAAATTCGCATGCTATCACTTCTCTACGGCAACAGGTTCCAGTTTAAATTGCAGCATATGCAACTGAAACTGTGACAGTTCTACTAGTGAGCTCCCAATCAAATCACATTTGATATGTTCCAAAGCACACTGAAGTCATTTCATTTTTCAAAGTAGCAGCATTTAAATAAGATAATTTTATGAATTTGTTAAAACAAGTTTGTTAAAACAAATTCACTAGAGTTAAAAGCGAAGGCTGAACTACTCAAGATCACGTAACCACATTTAGGGTATAATCTGGTGATAAATCATGCAAGAGGAAGTGGTCAGACAAAAACTTCCAGACCCATCAAATTTAGTATTAGAGTACTTTTCTTTAATAGAGTACACTGTTAATTTACACTATTACTTCCTTATGTCTCACCAGGAGTAAGGAGAAAGAAAAGAACAAAGTGAGGCAGGAAGGAGATCAAGCACCACATGATCCACTGATACGCTCTCTATAATCAGACTAACAACCCCATACTCACATACTCATGAGGTTTTTAGACCATGTACTGCCTCAAAGAAAGCAAACTGACCCCACTATAGTCAGCTAAATTAATTTCTGCATCACTTCACAGTTTGAAGTATCACTAAAGATAGACCAGCCCAAAGAAAAGCAGCTTAGTTCCATACACAATGAAGTACCTCTGTCTAGTCACTAGTATGATACATCTTAACAAAACCAAATCAGCAAATAGCCATGTGTATAACCAAGATGTTATAATTGCAATATAATCAAAAGAGTAAGGCAAAGCTGTATAATCAAGATGTTATAATTGCAATATAATCAAAAGAGTAAGGCAAACAAGGATCACAAAAGAGAATAAGTAGAAGAGCTTACCCTTGGGTTGAGCTCACTAGAAGATATCAAAGAGGAGGATCTCCAGAAGAGATCCTTCCCCTCTGGTAGCCAGCTCTTAAATAGGTCCAGGCTCCACCCCTTCCGGTAGCACAGGTGAATTGCCTTCACCTGTGCTCCTCTGGCTGACTCATGGCTCACCTCAGGTGATCAATCAGAGGTTCAGGCCGTGACTCAGCAGTTCCCATACACCATGTTAACACAGTTATTTACATACCTCATAGGTGCTGAGGATTTTGTGTCTGAACAGACATCTATTCTTCTCCTCTCAACTGATTGAACTAGTTCAATCACAAAGCAGAAGCAGCCAAGAAATTTTGATGAGGAAGAGCAGCATGGGTAGGCCATTTTGAATGAAAACTAGAAAATACCATTCTGAGGTACAACACCCCTAAGTTAACTTTCAAATTCCAATTTACTATCACATAAATATTTCCAATTACTTCCTCAGAAAGGCTGCATTTTTGAGAGAGCTATCAGGAGTCCCAACTTGGTGTTGGAAGTTGGGTTCTATCTATCACTGAGAGACAAACTTAGGTGTCAAGGCCTATTTTTGCTGCGCAGCCTGTGAAGTACAGCAAACATTTAGCTCACTGAAAAGCACAAAGGGAACCCATAGTAGGTAGAACCAGCATTTTCCTAAGCTACCTGATTTGTATTTTATTTCTCTTTTCTCTACTAGCTTCCCAGTTTCAGAAAGGTGCTGGTAAAAAACATAGCACGGTAACCCTGTCAGCATCTGCTTTTACTTCCCTGAGACTACAAGCCCCTCAGAGATGGGAGTGAAAGGAAAAATAAGTAGAGTTTTTGACATGGTTTTACTATCAAATATTGCATACACTAATAGAGATGTACACCACATTGCAAATATCAATGGAAAATTTAGCGCTGCTTATCTAGAAGAGCTAGGTTATTATACAGATGCATTCATGCCACCTGACAACTGTCACTTAGTTTCTACTTCATATTACATTTTACTATTTTGAGAATACTACAGGATGAGTATTGTTACTATATCAAAAATAGGATACCTTTAGAAACCGTCCCAATAGACTACAAAGTGTCCACTCAGAAAGCATACCACAAGTTACATGCTTAAAGTCTTAAATACACCCTAGAAGATAATAGAAGAAAGCAAAGACTTCTTTATCTTGTTTATGTGGTATTATGTTACATTCTGCTGCATGGTTAGCTGATACGTGGATTAAGGGGTACATTTATTGAATTTGCTTCAATGACTGTTACATAAAACACCCCCAACCCAAACAGGAAGCTACAAATGTTAACTTTGAGAAAGAATCATCAGGAGCTCCACTAGAAAATAGACAGCTGAAGACAATGAAGATTCAAATTGCATGTTTAAAAAAAAACAAACCAAAAAAAAAAAAAAAAACCAAAAAAACAAGCAAACCACAACCTAGAACTGTAATCTTTGCATAGAAGATAAGCCACAAATTGAGGAAAACTACTATGCACCTTCACAAAAGCAGTACTGAAGTCACAGGGATAGGATGTGGTTGATACTCTTAAACCCACGGGGGAAAAAAAAAAAGTTGCATTTTTCATGAAAGGATTTCTTTTTGTCCCTCTAGAAATACTATATAGTGTAAACCCTCTGTCAGGTGGTAGACTGTGCAGAACAGCTATCTGAGAAGATAATCTAGAGCAATGACTTTGTAACTGCAGCACAGAGCTATTACTTTGTTTTGTGTATATTTCATGTTTCTTTGTAGAACTCCACCCATAATCAAATTAACTGTTGATTTCCTGCTCTTTCAGTGTCTTCCAGGCAGTAGAAGCTGTTACTTCACATAATGCTTTCTCTTCTGTTTTAAAAAGCTACAAAAGCCAACAGGAAGTGCTATCTAAAAACTTTGAAATAAGTTGCAGATGTGATTCAAACACAAATCAAAGTTTTGCATTTGGATGATTCTGCAGGAAAGGTGATCGCTTCATACTCTGGCTACAGGAGAACACAAGAACGATCTGTTTTTTCACACGCAGTCACACTAAGCAACCTTCTATTTAAGACACCATTTAATAAGATGTAATTAGTCCTAAGAGGTCTTCTCCAACTTATAATAGAGCTTGACAGCCCAGATACCCTCTGCCCTAGATCGGCTACGACGCAACTGCTCAGCCACCGCTTGGAGTTATTTTAGTAGCTCCGGAGGATTTTTAGATTTTTTTTTTTATTTAAACCAAAAAAGCCGTTTAACACTTACTTCTCATAGACCAGTTCGTCGTCAGTACAGAAGTAGTGGGTGTTCGCCGTACTTTTGGGCTTATTCCGCAAAGTAGCGAAGTAGAGGCGATCTGAAAAACAGCGGACGGCCGCGTTGCGCAGAGCGGCCCGGGGCTCCCGCTGCGTCGGGCCTCTTCGGGAGCCGCCTCGGGCCCCGCGCAAGGCGCCGCTAAGCAACAGGTGCCGACCCGCAACCCGCCGAAAGCAGCGGAGGAAAAACTACTGAGGCGTTCCACACAGCGGCAGCGGGGCTGGCGGCTCAGGAGAACCGCGAGGCACAAGGGACCGACGGAGGCGGCCAAGCGCGCAGAGCGGCGGGAGGAAGGGGAGGGGGCCCGAGGGAGGCAGCGGAGGCAGCGCAGCACAACGCAGCACAGCGCAGCCCCCGCTCTCACCTTTCACGAACTCGGAGGCTCCCCCCAGCACTTCGGAGGCGGCCGCCGCCGGCTCCATCTTAAACAGGGCGCGGAGCAGCGAGGCGCGGGGCGGCTCCGAGCTCATGGCGCTCCGGGGCAGCGCCAAGGCGCGCTCGCAGGGACGCGACCCGCCGCCCAGAGGAACCGCCCGCCACGGGCCACGCTGCCGGGAGCGCCGCCACCCGCATAGGAACTGGAATGGGGGCGAGAGCCGGCTTCGGGACGCGGCGAGCCGCCGGGCGGGCGATAGCCCGCAGGGACCTCAGCTCCACCCCGGCCGGCTGGGAGCCGCCCCCTGGACAAAGCGGCCGCGGGCGGTTACCAGGCGACCGGCGGTGCTGTGGTGACGGCGATCCCGAGCCTTTGTCTCCGCCGGCCGGGACCGAGGTGGGCGGGCGTCCCCCTCGGCCCCCCCAGCCCCGCCCTCCGCCTCTCAGCTCCCCGGGTTTGCCAGGCACGGCCCCGCCCTCCGCCGGCGTCCCGCTGGAGTGCGGCCAGCCTCGACCCCGGACGGCGCCCCCGCGCCCCGCGGCGCTCCTTTCTGCTCCGTCCCTGCCCCGGGGCTGCGCTCTGCGGAGCGGCCCGAAGAAACACAGTGCTCCGGTACGCGGCTCGAGAGATCTGAGACGGCGGGGGGCGAGCCGAGCTAGTATCTCCCCGGCGAGGAGTGGACGTGAGCGAGCCGACGGGCCGGGCAAAAGCCGCCTCGGTGCAGGAAGGGGCATAGGGAAGTACCGCGCGGGGCCAGGAGAGCCCTTTCCTCACACCCTGAGCTAGGACCCATGTTTGCGAAGCCCGGGCCCGGCAGGCGCTACCTTCTCGTCTTATGGACAGGCAGACCCACCAATCACACGCTGCCTTCCCAACTCGCCTGCCTATGAGCGGCGCACACTGAAGAAAGGGCTGCTCCCGGCCACGCCCCTCGGGCGGGTATCACCTCGACAGCGCCCCTTCCCGCCTCCGGGGATCGCCGCGGTCCGCGCAGTGTGTGAGGAGCTCCGAGGCGGGAACGGGGCCCTGAGGGCACCGCAGCCTTAGCGAGTAGAACTCCTAACACGTTGGGTCGGGATTCCCTTTCACTGAGAAGCTACGCAGCGGCAAGACATTTTGCACACGCTGCTAAGTCTGTGGTAACACTAAGCTAGGTTTTTTTGTTTGTTTGTTTGTTTTTTAAGTGAAAGATTGACTTCTGGGGGTTGAACCTCAATAGCTGAACAAGCCTATAATTTAATTAACCAACTGCTGAATAACCACCTTTTAAAAGCATTCCGTTAGAAGAGCCTTTCCTCCACCCACCTCTTCAGAAGGAGCCTGTAAGTGCCACAGACAGCTCATCCCCATAGCCAAACACCAGAGAGCGGCACAGGAGACCTGCTCTCATAAGAAGAAAAAAAGGATGCTGCTCTTCCCCAAAGAAAAGAAGAGAAATACCTTAAAAAGACATTACAACATAAAGTCCTACTCAGCTCTGAGGTCTGTGTTGTTGCTACCACTTTTTGTAACAAAAACAATTGTTACTGTCATTTCATACCCTTCTATGTGCTGCAGGTGAGGCCAAACAGCACAGAAAGCACTCCCCTCTTCCATTTTTAATCTGTGCTTAAATACTACAGGAAGCACTTCTCATGCATTTATTAGTTTCACAATTTCTTACTTATTTTTGGTACTACTCTAATAATTCATATCTTCATTCCTACACTTTTTTTTTTTTCTTCATAGCTCCAGAACACAAATATGACTCTCTTTGAACCTCCATGAACTTAGGTAAGGAACATCACTCTAAGTACTCTTTTGTGGAAGATGCTTGCAAGGCCATAGTCATGTGTCAGAACTAAGTTGAAAAAGGTTGTTGTGGGGTATTGTTTGCTTGTCATGTAAATCAACGTGCTCATCCTTTAATATGCCTCTCTCTTCCACTTTTATCCTTAAATAAATCACATACTCCATACTTCATTCACAATCAAGGTCTTGGGGTAGAAATTCTCTAAGGAGCAGATTCATAACCATACCTCCCTAGCATCCCCCTTACTCTACAAGTCAGTGCAACATACATTTCTAAGCACATGCCACACTATGTGTTGAGAGTACATATGATCACACTCAGAGGAACTTCAATTGAGGTACCTTTGCCAATAGAAGGAAAGATGGAACAGTGTAACAAGGTTCACACCCAGTATCTAGAATCTGAAGCTAGTTTTGTGCTTAAGTCTATTCTTTGCAAATACATCTTAGCTAGGTTGGTATATCTGGGATACATATATGTTTATACACAGCTAGCAACTGAAGTCCCACTATCAAAAACTGTTCTCACAGATGGCTTGCATGTCTTCGGCAAGATCACAAACATTCCTTTGGTTGCATGCAGATACAGTTAGTGGCAATTAGATACATTTTAAGCACAGAAGTACTTAGTCTCTCTTCTCCCCTGTGAATATGTACTAAATAGTAATGGATTTTTAGTTCTAGCATTTCCTCTTAGCTTTTATAGCATGACTAAGCCTTTTAAAATGCTTTCAGAATGTTTTCACCTCATACTTTTCATTATAATCACTTCCAAATGCTATTTCTAACATTTGATCAAGCCTACAGTGACATCTTGTGGCTTTTTTTTTTTTTAAACTATAGAAGCAATCTTGTAGCCTTATTGCAATTTCAGGACTGAAACCTCTTTAAAAATTACAGAATTGTATTTATCAATAATTTGAAAGTAGTTTGATTTTTTTTTCAGTAAAAGATTCCTTAAGTACATATTTCAGATTCCACTTATAAAACCCATGTCACACAAACACTGATTTCTACAGAAAACTCAGAGGCAGTGATAAATGTTTACATTCCAAATACTTCCAAATGACATCTACACAAGCTCTTACCACAATAAAAAAATTGTTAATATTTAAATTGTTAGTAAAATATCTCAAAGAATATCAAGGTACTTCTATAACCATCAAGGGACAAATTCATTACTTATAAAAAAACATTAGCTTTTAAAACGAAGAAACCTCTTTTGTTCCTAAGCAAAATGAATAATGGCTAGACCTGAAGCCTGATCTTTGAACTTTTTGGTTCACTTGTTTCAGGTGGTGGTTTTTTTTTTTTTAATGTTTGTACTATTAGTCATCACACATAAACCTTACCTAAATTAAATAATCATATGCCAACAAATACCTGTAATATTTTTTTTTATTTTTAAATGAGCTCTTGATACTGCTCATCTGTGTTGAGCTTATGAGCTTATTTCAGACATCTAACACTGAAAATTTGGTCAAAACTTTGTGAAATAAATACAGAACAATTCTATTAATATATTTTATTTGACAAAGGTACAAATTAAATTTACCAGAATAATATAAGCTTTTCTATTTCTATTCATTCCTTCACTGATACAGAAGAGCTCCCTGCTAAAAAACAACAAAAGACAAAACAAAAAACCCCAAACAATCCCTTTTTCCTCAAAAAAAAAAAAAAAGAAAAAAAAAGAAAAAAAAGAAAAAAGCCCAAAATTAAGATTTGGCTGAGTTGACAGTTCACTTCACAATTTAAAAGGTAAAATACAACTAAAATAGTGAAAATGTAGCAGATAATACTGCACAGAACAGAAATTAAAGATGACCAATAAATGAATGAAATGCAGGAAGCTACTACTAGTCAAGCTGCACTTCTAGAAATCTCACATAGTTCTGTTCGGATTTTACTTATCACTACAGCCCAGTAAATACAATTTATAACAAAAGTGAACAGACTTAAAGCTGATATATGAAGCTTGCTTTTTTCCTTAAGTCTTACAGAAATATTAGGAAGTCTTTACTGAGCATAAATTCTTTGACACTGATATAACAAAACAAAAGAATCCTCTGTTCTCCAGAAAGGAACTCATAGAGTCCATATCCAGAAACAGCTGTAAGAATGTCACATTTTTCAAAGACTGTTTTTGTCCAGGTAATCATACATCAATTGTGTAGATAGTGTATTGTAGACATGAGTTGATATTGATTACCAACTTCTGAATTGGTACTGAAAATAAATTAAAACTGATGTAGGTGGGATTAAGCCCAAATTTGATGGCAGATTTGATTCTTCTGATACAAAAAAAAAAAGTTGCTTTTTTGTTTTTCATCCATACCACAAAATAGCTACAGCAAAAAGGTTTTTCCTATGTTACCATTGTTTCTAATAAAACAGAAGTTATTAAAAAATAGCTCTTTCTTGCCACTGATCGAGCCACATAATTCAAAGATAATAGCCCAGCCCTGTCACATAGCACTGTACCTTAAAACACTTTGTTTTACACATTCATTGCACATTTTAATTCTGTTGTCATAGCTGCCAAAAACAGAGATAAAAGAAAGCAAGTAATCGTTCATGTGAAAGATTGGTTTTAAAATAAGTAGACCTGTAATATTACAAAATGTACAAACTAGAAAAAATGTAGAGCAGCATGCTTTCATTAGCAATTATACAGAAAACATTTTAGAAGATTTACTTGGGCATATATTTTTTTTTAACAAAATACACACAATATACCAAAAGCAAACTAAATACTAAAGATAGTATTGATAAACAATCTCATGGACTTGACTGCATATATAATTTTCATATTTTATGTATTCAAGTGTTTCTTTCATTTCCAATTGCTAAGTTTTACCTTTCAACTGTTTACAATGTTTCAGCAACTCTAGGAGAATTATTAATAAGAATAAAGCTGTAGCAAAGAGATCCTTCTTCACTGCCTCAGCAGTAGTGGATATTGTATGCAATGGTTTTAGGACTGAGATCTGCTTTGATTGGGTATTCTTCTGGTTTGCCTTCACAGCAGCTTCAGGAACATACAGATGTAAAGGAGTTTTGTACAGCAATCTAGGAGCCTAGTCTGTTTGTTGTAGCCCTTTTACAGTTTCAGTAGGAAATGTGTGGAGAAGGAGAAGGGAAGCAGGGGAAGGAAGCATTTCCACACAAAACAAAACTAAGTTTACTTAGTTAGGTACACAGTAAAAATAAAAAAGTCAGATTATGATCACTGAAGTATAGGGGTACATTTTTGGCTGCATGTTTCCGAAGTGGCCTAGTTGTAAACACTTCTCAGGTTGTGGGAAAAA